TGATGCTTCCCCCATCCACCAGAGGCACTGGAAACTACTTGGGCGGGAAACTTGTTGCCCAATTTTGCTCAGAGGTCTCGTAGAGACATGAGGTTCTTTTACATGCCGTAAATCTACGACACAGGACACACAGCTTAAAGTCCCTCCCGGAGGACTTGTTCCCTGAATTTTTCCGCCCTTAAAAATTCCATGACCTCCGCCGGGTTTGAACCCGTGTACTTTGAGTCATGAGGTGGGAACGTTACCCCTAGATTACGGAGGCCGCTAGGTCATATTGTTACTTCCAATGCAGGTCTTTAGTTACAGACTTAACTAAATGCTGTAAATTATATAAACTTTGTCCTAATTTCCCGAGGGGTATCTGTTATTCACAATACAAGCATATTTTGATTTTGCATCAGCCTTAAAATCGTTTTTATACAGCTACAAATTATGTTAAATTGATAGGATAACTTGAACTAGTTAAAATTAGACCAATATTGGCCAATTACTAGTCTTGCTGTTATTTTTATTTTATTTTATTTTGGTGTGTAGTCCTGGGTCCTCCACTTTCTGGTATCTGTACTTTGTCGCAGTCGTGGGGCTTGGGTGCCTAAATGAATCCGAGAGCCATGCCAGCGGTAACATATGTTACCAGTAGGGCCTCCCATGCTGGATGGGTTGGGGTGATGGGCCAGACCAAAAGAGATACCCTGGGCCTTCAGGTTGGGGGTTGGTGCATGAGGCTGACAACCTCATTCCTACTAAAAACGTAAATTGCTAGGAAACCTTGGATGACAGCCTGGTTCCGGTACCACAGAATTAGTTACTGCTTAGTACCAACTTTGCCGACTAGTGGTGGTCACTCGGTCAGTATAGTTTGCTTGCGGACTCAAGCCACGGAGTTTAGTTTTGGTAATATATGGACTTACCACAATCCCAGTGATGTCACCTGCTTCGAACTTGCTAACTGCTAGGTCCAACGATTTCTGCATATCAGCATTGATGCGCTGTGTGATGAGCTTATTGAGGTCAATAGATCGGCCCAGTAGCTGAACATGTCTTTGTTTTAGAAGTGTTTCATATCGATTTGCTCGTGGGTAAGGCAGCAGGTATGTTCCCAATGCAACGCACTCCACCCGGAAGCGTTTATCCAGCAAGATACTGTGGAAAGTGTAGAGAATATTTTCAATACAAAAATCAGATCACTTAGTGCCAAGAATAGAAAAGGTGAATGGTGGAATTGTCCCTGTGCTTAAGTGTCATGCCATAAAGTCTTGTTAAGTGGAGCAGGTGTAAACTCCCTGCATTCCTAACCCTAGGATAATACAGTTTTACTACACAGGAAAGCAATCTGGAGGTCGTGTGGGCTACTGTCCATGTTAGGAACTGAATTCTGGTCATCCACTTTGCTGGCTGAGCTGTCCTGGCTCACATCCAACATGTACTTAGGATTACTAGATTACCATAATCAAGATACGTAAAATTCATAGGGTGAAAAAAAGAGAAACACAGTGAACTCTTAATTATTCAGGGCAATGAAACTCTGTGGCCTGTAGTCTGCAAGCGAACTATATCAACCGAGCGACCGCCGCTTGTCGGCAAAGTTAGTGGCAACTTTTTGCAGACAGAGGGTGTCATGTGGTCAGCGCAAAGGATCCCCACGGCTGTTAATCTCGGTTTTCGGGACCAGAGCCGCTATTTCCTTGAAATAGCTCCTCAATTATCCTCACGAGTCTGAGTAGACCCCGTTTGAGACCCACTACTTCTCAGAAAATCTGGTAGCGCCGGGAATCGAACCTGGGACCTCTGGATTTGTAGCCAGAGAATTCTGACCACTAGACCACAGAGGCGGTCTAATGAAGAGAAGCAGCATGGATAATTAAAGACACTGATAATCCAAAATCTGGAAATGCCTACTACCATGTTGCATTTAATTTTGTAAATTGTCACTTGTAATTATTACATACTCTCGTCTTAATGTTCACTAAACAGTGTGACATATATCTTTCCAATTGAAGACATAAATTTTTGTCCAATGATAGTAGGCTGATCCAAGAAGAAACTGAATAATAAGACAGAATTTAGCAACAGGGTGAGAAGATGCACAGTCCACTGCAAACCACTGTGATCATCACAGATGCCCTATGCTCCAGAGGGAGCAACAGGAATATGAATGAAATGTTCATTTATTTAATTACCTTGCTGCTAGTTGTTTGTAATGGGCAAAGATCTGCTCACTAAGCTTGTAGACAAACTGATCAAAGCAAAGATTAACCTCTGCTTCCACTTCATCATACAGGAACTGCTTGCGGAACACAGTGAGGGCATATACTGCACTGTCATTGTAGAGATCCAAGGGATACAGCACATACCTGTACAAATTATATTATAATCAGCTCTGCATATATAATACTGAGAAAAATCCACATGAATATCATTCTACCTGTTGACTTTTCCTTTTGGGAAGCTTTGACAGGTTTGCTGCTCATTTTGCACTACCTAGGGGACACGTATGACTTAAAGAATGTCACGGACGTGAGCAACTTTGTTGCAAATTTTCGACTGAATACAGGACATGACTGTCTTGCAGCACATCTTTGTAAGATACGAATATATAACACAGAAGAACGTACACTGCGCAACTTGCCAGGATCATCTATGGGAAAAGAACACCTCCTTCAATGCCCTAATCTCAACAAGAACATGCAACAAAGCAAGAACTTGAGTGCTCTATATGAGAAGCAAGAAGTAAAATGGGTTAAACGATCCAAAATGCAGCCACTGGAAACCAATCAATCAACCATCATCCTACCTCTATTCACCTTACACCCTTTCAAATACCCAGCGGAGGTCGTCGAATTTTTAAGGACGGAAAAATTCAGGGAACAAGTCCTCCAGGAGGGACTTTAAGCCATGGGTCCCGTGTTGTAGCTTTACGGCACATAAAAGAACCTCATATCTCCAAAGGAGGTCACTGTGCCAAAATTGCGGACGTTTCCCACCCGACAGCAGTCACTAATACCTCCGGTAGATGGGGGAAGCATTATAGATACCTCTCAGCTAGTAGAGCCGGTCTCGCTGGCTGGGCAGGACTGATGGTAAGCACCAGTACCGCTAGGATATAGAGACTGGTAGAAATCATAGAGGGAAGCACAATGGACCACTACAGGTCTAAGTGCATGGGCAAACCCACCCTCTCTAATAACTAACTAACTACACCCTTTCAAAACACATTTCTTTTTTTTAATACTGCCAGATAATTCCCAGAAATTGTAAGCAATTTTTTATGCTGGCCTGGTTTTACGCTTTGTAAAACAAATTATTCACAAATTCTCTGGCTAGATATGCATAACTGGAGACAGTATAAATATAGGCCTGTGCCTAATAGATTCTAAAGGGTTCTGATAATGTGTATACACTAAACAATTACTGTGTTTTCAGACTTTGTCCATTGTGTGGTATTCTAAAAACTTCAAAACATGTTTTTGAAACTGGATCTGTTTCTGTCCTCAGGTAAGGGGGGAAGAGACATACTCTGCTGGGTCCCTTAGTAACCTGAATCACTCAATCATCCAGTGACTGCAGTCAGCTCTTCCTAAGGGCCTCAGCAGAGTAGGTGCTTCCCCCTCACCAGATAATGTAAACAGATCCAATTTCTGAAACACTGTGTTTTCTAGTTTTTAGAATACCAGACGCTGGACAAAGTCCAAAAACCCTAGTAATCCTGTACCTAATGTTTTGAATTGTTCAGGTGGGTAGACATGTCACAAATGCCTAATTCTCTCATATTACAATTAGCATGTACATCTGTCTCTCCTACATGGACAGCCTGCCTTTCCCAGTAAAGTTTAATCCCAGACTGGATATAGTTCATGTATAACTTCTGAAGTCTGACAATAGGCTGGTTATCATAACTAGCTAGAACTGATGTCTGACTGACTGTCTTGGTATTGGAATTTCCTCAAGAAGTTGAGTTATTCTGCTGATCAAGAAACTCCTTACATATTCATTACCATGTTCACAAACCCTCACAATGGACCATATCTTGAGATATTTCAGTTCTTCACATATCTATTCCTCTAAGACACATTTTAATATCAGTCCTGATATCTATGCTGAGTCTCCTGTGGGTTCTTGCTTCAAAGTTATCAAACCAAGGTTTTGTATTATATTGTTTCCCACAAATGTTGTTTGTCCTGCCTCTCTGGCCTTTCTTGATTTAATAACCCAAAGTGTAAAGCTCCTTAGTATGTAATTTTTCCTATTCTATTGTTATTTCATCATTCTTTGATCAAAATATTCTATCCAGCAGTGTGTTCTCAACAACCTCTCAATCTATATTTATCTTTTAGGGTGACAGATGCTGATCAACATACCTATATAAAATATAAAGAAGTTATTGATCAGACTACAAATATGATCAGTATGCTCAGATATTAAGAAGATAAACAATCACTGTATTATTACTTACTCCATCATGGATGGCTCTTTTGTCCTCAGGATATGATCAGTAAGAATCCAAGGCATTGACATCTCAATTGGGAACTGCAATGACAGATCAGTTCACACCAGATAATGAACAGTCATTTGACAATATAGGACAATTCCATTTGTTTCAACAAGTAACAAAAATAACCTGTATGCAGGTAACTATTTTGATGTGCAAACCCAAATATTTCATGCTGTTGCTGTTAAGTTCACACAACAATAACAAGGAGAAGTTAATGGGATGAGTTCCACAAACAGGTACCACATCATTCAATGTGTTTCACAAATGTGAGTGACAGTATTAATTTTTGACAGTATTTTTGGTTTGTTATTTAATGACAATGTATCAACTGGGGAGGCTATATAGCAGTAAATGAGAGAAATAAATAGTAATATAAACTTGGACAGAATAAGGGAGGATGCTACCCTTGCATTTGCCTGGAATGGTTAACTGGGGGGGGGGAATAAAAATTAGAACAGCCATAAGTCACATGAGGTACTATTAGACTTATTTTGGACTCTATCCATCATCTGGTATATAAAAGACAAAAAAACGTCTCGGAGACTGGATCTGTCTCCATCCTCAGGTGAATGGGGCAGGATAAACCTACTCAGTTGAGCCCATTAGAAAGAGCTAGTCTCAATCAATCTCTATATACCAGATGATGGATAGAGTCAAAAATAAGCCTAATAGTTCTGTACAGCATACACCATCATTAGAATCCTTTCAAGTCTACATGAGGTATTGTTCTGCCAACAAATTCAACATCTGTACAGAACAGTTTCGCTTTGAATGCATGAATTCTGAGAAATATGCTAACCCTTGATTAAAGTTTACTGATCAACAGTAATTTTGGTTCAAATTGCACAGTGTGAACTGTCATTTCAAACAGTAGCCTAAATCAATTTTTAAATGATATGTAGATTACACTGTGGAAAAATGTGAATGGATAAAAAGTACTTTGGACAAAACTTATAGCCACTAATGAAAAAAATGTTTTATATCATGAAATCACTGAATTATAGCAACGATTATAATGATTCCAACAACTATCAACTGTTATTGATTGTACTAGGATCATGTAATTTTTTGAAATACTGATGTGATGGTTATCAAATATGTCAACACAACACACATGAACAAATCAAGCCTCTAAGTGATCAACCATACCTGTCCAGTAACTGTGTACAAGGTCTGATGAGTTCTCATGCGTTTTCTTTTTTTGGGTCACATACAAAATTTATGTGTAATGCGGTAATGCTTATGCACCTTCTTACTTGTTTCATCTCTAAAACTATAAGACAGATTACAACTAAATTTAGTATTTGCGACTTAAAGTAAAAGTTGTCAGGTGAATTCAATTTTGATTCATGTTATTCCAATAAATTTCATACTCAAAATGAAACTCCAATCATAATCTGGTACATGACATGACTGGTTTCCAATCATCATTCATCATGATCCCTCTGACATAATGTCTCAGAATGCAACAGAATGTGAACTCCATGAAATGAAATTTGTAGTGATCACATGAATTCACTAAATACTGCTGAGGGATGGACGCTGTATGCTCTGTCTCTACCATGGATTATGCTACAGAGTTCGAACCTATCTCAGCAATGTAAGCCACTGTAGTAAGTCTCACCCTGAAAGTATATGGTGAAAGAAACCTTCTTATGTAATCTGTGTTGCTATATACAGTTAGAAGTTAATTTACCCTAACTGCAGTTAAGTAATTCAAACCCCACTATTATATAACTCTCTGAACGTTACGAACAAGACGAGGCTAAACAGAACTTACTTACTCATGGAACTGAGCCCTTCTGGAGGAGCTGCCAATTCTGCAGCTACTCAAGAATTTCCCAGCATTTTATGGAACCCAAAGGTTCATTACTGTGTTCACAAGAGCCATCTACAGGTTCCTATCCTGAGCCAGATCAATCCAATCCATACCATCCCATCCTATCTCCCTAAGATCCATTTTAATATTGACTACCCAACTACACCTTGGTCTTCCCAGTGGTCTCTTTCCTTATGGCTTTCCCAACAATATCCTATATGCATTCATCGTCTCTCCCATTTGTACTATATGCCCTGCCCACTTCATCCTCTTTGACTTGATCATTCTAATTATACTTGGAGAAGCGTACAAGTTATGAAGCTGTACTTACAATAAATTACCATTAATTATCAATTTAAGTATAAGAGTTAAACCTTGACTTACACTTACATGTAGTCTTTGCTACAAAATGAACCCCAAGTTTACTGGTAACTTGACTGAACATCGCATTAAAGTGCTTAGCATATCTGGTTTCTGGAGGTCCCGATTTCAATCCAGACTGAGGGACTGATTATCCCAACTTGTTTACCATATTTTAATCTGTTTCTCCAGGCAAATGCTAGAATAGTACTTTGACATAGGCCATTTCCAAATTCATCATTTGTGAACATAATTCATCCAGAAACGTACAGTCTCTGAAGCTGATACAATGCCATAAAGTGACTCAACAGACCAGGCCTATCAAACTTGTAGGTATTTCTGCATCAATTTTATAGTCTGAGGTTGTGGTCTGGGCCACATCATCAGAAGAGGAAAAAAAAAAGGCTTTAACAGACCACTATACTGAACACTTAATGAAAAATATCATTAACTGTGTTATAGTTCATGAACACCTAACTGGATGCATTGCTGAAAACTCTAAAAATAAGAAATGTGGCAAGACTCGGTGAAATAATATTTCGATCTTTTGCATTAAAAAATTATACCTAAACACACGAAGAAATACTGTAATTTAATGTCAGTTAAAAATGTTTTGATGAGTGGGCTATATAAAATGTACTTTTCAATATTTAAGAGGACTTCACATTACAGTTTCACTGATGATGTGTTTGAGAGGCCTGGAATAAAACAAACAACAAACCAATAAACACACAGTTATCAAACCATCAAATAATGTTCTGTTAGTTTATTTTTGTTTGGTTATGGAGAAATCTATGGGAGGAGTGCAGTATCGAGTTTACCGTTTGTTCATCACTGAGTAGCAACAGCGGCAACTGTTGACGTGGGGCCCAATTAGACAAACTGCATTTTTGCACTGATAATTTTAGTTCTACAAGACAGGCTTCAGGGATACAGAATAAAACACACCACACAGAAAAAGAAAACACCACATGTTACAACAGTATACAGAGTAGTATGAATTGTTACAATACAAATAACATGCACCAGCAATAAAATATTAAGAAGGCATTCTTTATAACAGATACAATTTAGGTAGATGGTGTGTCAGTATTCTTGCCAAATCTACTTTCTTCAAGTCAGTTTTACTGAAAGTCAGATGTCTGTCAGCTGCCAATAGTGAGAACATAACCTTTCCTCACCTAACACAGCATGTTCCCTGGGTAATGAAGTGATGTCAGTCATAAAAGAAAATGGTGGCTCATTAAAATCACTACAAACCTTGAAACCACTAGCATATTCATATGTAACCTAAGCACCATTCTCCGAATCCTGGATTTCATATAAATATATTGTGGCACATTTCCTCAAAGCAGGAACTGTGGAGCCAGGAGAAACAGCCAACTGCTTGCAACCACTGTGTAAGCACACACCAATACCGCAGTCACTTCTAAGCAACTTATACACACAACACTGAAGAAACTATTAAATGGGGTGTTTTGTATGAGGTCTGCACTGAGGCTACATAGAGAGCCGATCATGCATTGTGAGTTAGTTCAGCTCAAAGTCAGCTGAAGTTGGAGGTTGGCAGTTGAAAGTCAGTCCAGTCCAGTCCACGAGCTAGCAGCTGAAGCCACTGGTCAGAGTACAAGGTTGGCATGAGATGGTCACCACCCTGCAAGGACGTGAGCACAGAGCAGAGTAACATTCGCTGCTATCAAGCAATGTGACTGAGAACACCAGTCCGTGCGATAATGATCTGCGAAGTGTAGTCACAAGTTGTATGAGTGTCCACCAAATCCAGCCATAAATCCAAAACCCATTACAGTAATTCCTTTTGATTATATGGTGAAATTTTATAAGTTCTGAAGTTTTCTTGGCAGTGACTGTGTTCTTCTGGGTTGTGACATTGCAAAGTCACCCTTTTACTATTTACCATCTCAGATGCAAATTACTCAAGACAAATTGCATAGCATTAAAAGGTATAACATCACATACATTTTCAGGATTTTTTTTTCTTGTAGTATGAGTAACAATCCGCACTAAACTACACTGGCTGTATAGCGTCAATGAGAGGATGATTATTGGAACTGGAAGGAAACAATGATGCCTGGAGTGTCTGAGGAAAACTACACCACCTGTCAATACAGCTGGTGCATGGACTGAGATATGTATCAGATACTTCTCAAATATGTCAGCCCTGTTACTGTTCTCAGTAAGTTACTACCACTCTGGTAACAGAATCTGAACATTGAACATTGCTGAAACCTAATGTTATTGCTCAACACATTAACCTCTGTCCTCAGAACCTACTCCAATAAATAGAGCTTAATGTTATCATCACATTTGTTTCTCAGTCTTACAAGCGGAGGTTTCCAAGAGATTTTCCCAACAGATTTCTATACCTTTCCTGTCTTCCTATCTTGGATGCATGACCAAAAGCAAACTCTGCGGCCTGTAGTCCGCAAGCAAACTATACTGACCGAGCGATCGCCGCTTGTCGGCGAAGTTAGTGCCAACTTTAGCGGATAGAGGGTGTCATGTGGTCAGCTCAACGGATCCCCACAGCCGTTAATCTCGGTTTTCTAGACCGGAGCTGCTATTACCTTGAAATAGTTTCTCAATTATCCTCACAAGGCTCAGTGGACCACATTTCAGACTCACTATTTCTCAGAAAATCTGATAGCGCCGGGAATCGAACACAGGACCTCTGGATCTGTAGGCAGGAACTCTGACCACTAGACCACAGAGGTGGTCCTGGGATGCATGACCAATCCATCATTAATTCAGAATCTCCAGGATCAACAACAATGCATTACTTTTATAGTTGATAAAGTTACGTTAAATATTCACATTCTGTCTCTCAATATTACTCTGACATTTCAGTATTTATTTTTTTTTCTCTGCTACAGTGGAAGAATTTAAACAACTAAGTTTTTGAACAATCACAATGCAATTCAGGATCAAACTACAAGTGGGTTAAATTTTCCTATGTACTATGTTGCAGTATAAAACTAACATGCGTGGTTATCAAAAACTATACACTTCCAAAAATTTATTCATAACAACCAAACTGCTCCACAAAAGTTATACAGTAAACTGTCACTAATCCAGTTACTTGTACAGTTAATCTGGATCAAAATATCAAAAATTCTATTCACAGTTTAGTACATACTTTAAAAGACACATGGAATTTAGGAGCAAGAGGGATTAGAACAAGAGGACTTTCAGACTGTGTCGAGGGCAGCTGGACAGACTGAAACTATTCAAGAACATATCAAAGACTGGCTTGAGCTAGATGGAGACCCGGGATTTCAGCTTCTGACAGAGGAAGAAATTGCTGCAGTGATTTTTATAAATTTATTTTCATCAGCAATATTTACATCTTTAAATTGTCCATTTATTTGTTTCATAAGTTTTTTTTTTTTCTCTTTCAGGGCTATCTTTTGCTTCATTAATCTGGCTTACTGGTTAATCTGGATGGCTCCCAAAGTTAATCCAGATTAGCAAGAGTTTACTGTATTAGCATCAACAAAAACAAAAACTGGAAAAGTTTCCTGACAGAATATAAAGATGGATTGTAAGCTGAAACACTGATTCATGGCATTTTAGATCTTCTGAGCTACTCCTCTGGACAACATAATATATCTTGTCTGTATCTGAATTAATACAAAACAATACAAAACAATTTTTTTTTGTTTTAGATAATTGTAATTGTAATTGTTGTAGTTGTTAATCGTATTTGGTTTGTATTCACTGTGGTAGGATGTCCTTGTTGTTGTGTTTTGTGTATTGTGTTTTGTTTGAACGTGTTGTCACTTAGTGTAATGTGTGTTACTTGTCTGTTGTGTACTACTGCCACTGGGCTAAAACCCAAATGCAGTATAATAATATATATATATATAATTATCTGAGTAGGGTTGGGAGAGAGTCAGACAACTTAAGCCAATCTTAAAAGTTTTTGCACCATTCAAATCCCTTCATAGTACAGCAGTGTGTAACACCCTATTGGTTGAAAACCTTGCCAGCAACTATGGTGTAATACAACCCACATTCAAACTAATCAGAATATCTAACAACAACCAACCAAAGTTATGATACAAAAAAGCTAAAAGATCAGCTGTAACAATATGATGAGTTAGAGGGCTCTATCAATACTCTTTCAATGCACTTTCACCATTATATGATAACAGAAAGACACTACATTACACATTTGATACCAGAATTGGATACTGCCATAAGTGAATCACATCAAACACATTAGAACATACTTCAGTAGGGCAGAGTACAAAAAGTCTAGACCAGATGTGCAGCAGCTGCAATGCAAAAACCAAGCAACCAGCCATCCAGAAAATCAATTTCCGCAAACATGCCACTAATAAGACAATAACAGTAACAGAATTTTAAAAACCTGGAGCGTGGGATGCTGACAATAGTAATCCTGTGTCAAAAAATCTCAATGGTAATGCACTTTCATGCAAAGTTATTTGAAACGCTGTTCTTTGTGGCATACCAACAACTTGCTTAGTGTATACCCAAAAAAGTCAGAACTCATAAAAGAATATACCCAGTACAGTACCAAATGTAAGATCTACGACTTTCACGGGGCTATACTTCAATGAATATCTTCTCAGGCTATGTAAAAGTAAAAAGTAAAGCTATCCCTGTAACAGGCCGTGAAGGCCCATAGGGTTATGAGACATTGAGGGTCCAACATTATCTAGACAATAGGCTCAAAGATGGCAGTAAGGTTGTCAGCCTTATGCGCTGGCCACATTTTACTCCCCAGGAAAATTATTTAATTAATTCCTGGTACTCATTTCTGTGAGAGGCTGAGTCGACCCCAGGGCCATAGTGCGGCTGGAAGATTAGGTCAATTTAAAAAATCCAATGACCTCATCGGGACTTGAACCCATGACCTTCCGGCTTGTAGCATAGTGTCTCAGGCTATGAGCAACATTAAATAAAAATATGCTGTTTCAGAGACATTCTCTGCCTCCATTCTGTGCTGATATGAACTGGAAAGGCGTTGATAGACCACTTATGTCATATGCCTTTAACTGAAATGGTTTTCATTATGTGTATCTGGTTCTAATGAAAGAACTTAAGTTATATTCTGTTGGTGAAGGAGACAGAGAGTCTTGGATATGCCACCATCATCAGCCCAAGAGAAAATAGCATAATGTCCTCAACTTGGCTGAGCATGGATCTATGACCTTTGCCTTTGCATGGTTAAAGGGTAAAAAAGGTGAAGCTATCCCTGTAACAGGTCGTGGAGGCCCACAGGGTTGAGACGTTGAGGTTCCCACATTTTCTAGACAATCGGCTCACAGATGGCGGTAAGGTTGTCAAACTTACGTGCCGGCCACCCCTTACCCTAAAGGAAGATTCCTGGTACTCATATCTGTTAGAGGCTGAGTCAACCCCAGGGCCATAGTGTGTGGTTGGAAGGATTAGGTCAATTGAAAAGAATCCACCTCATTGGGACTTGAACCCGCAATCTTCTGGCTTGTAGCATAATGCCTCAACCAGCTATGCTACTGCATGCACCCGCCTTTGCATGGCTAGAGCTAATATATTAAGAGAACCACAACCTGCAGGGTTTTGACTCCAGCTAAAGTCAGGGCTCTTAAGGAGTCCAAGCAACACTGGGGATACAAAATGGATCCAGCAGATGTCTGAGTGATGAAGGGGTGACTAGAAACTGTTCCCCATGACAGCAAAATGCAATACAGTACAATACAATCTTTTCATTTCAATTAAAATATGAAGTTGTACTACTTAGCTTCAATAAGAATGCTGAATTGTATATTCTGCTTTTAATAAAAATCCTTAGTTGTACGGTTTTGGTTTCAATGAAAATGACAAGTTGTTTACTTTTGGTTTCAGTGATAAACTTTATGTCTGAAGCACTGGTTGTGATGAAAACTGCATGCCTTCGGTTTTTACTGAGACTGTTTAAGCTGTGTAACTTTCATTTAACAGAATTTCTTTTACAATCATGTCTGCATCTAAACTATACACTATGTAAGATTTGAGGCTTTCACGGCGGTGACTATGAAGAAAGCAGTCTTCTGGGATTTGGCACCACATATACACGGTGCCAAATCCCAGAAGACTGCTTTCTTCAAACTATACACTGTTGCATGGTGGGATAACTGAAGAAATGGAAATGATCTGGAAGGAAGCGATCATACTTCAACTCAGCATTTTCCTGAAAGGACTGAGGAAAACCACACAAAACATCAGGCAGGATAGCTGCTATCCTAGCTAAGATCTGAACTAAGCATGTCTTGGATACAAGTTTAAAGAATTACTGCTACATTAAAATGACTGGTTTACTTGAAAATGATTGGGCTGTATTCCAGTGGATTCTCATCCAATTTATATCAGATCCGAAGACAGAAGCAAAGAGGAGCTGTAACCCTATCTGCAAATTTAATAATTTATAGCTTGTGAATCTTAAATGAATACGGTACAGCGTGTGATGCCATAATGAAACAAATGGAAAGTATCTTATTTTCCATTCAGTGAATGTAGCGAAAATTTTGTAACCCGCCTGAGCAATAATGAGTTGCCTTTAAAACACAGGATTACTTTCTGCATGAGACAGATGGACGGATGGATGGTCTACCTGGATACGTTTCTCCATGGTGATGAGGTCACTGCATTCTTCATTATGTTGATGCCTCACAGTGCACTTCTTTACCGCGCCGACAAGAAAACAAGACACCAGCACCATTATACAACCTGGCGCCATCATACACATGCAAAATACTCAATTTGGATGTTTGGATGATGTCACTGCCTGCTTCTGATCATTTCAAGTGATCTTTTTGTTAAAATATCAGAAGATTAGCAGTTCATGTAAGAAAATTGTATTTCAGCCATATCCAGTCAACTGTTGCACTTCATATACCATATTATTAGTATTAGACTTATTATAAATCAGAAACAAGTATATTCACAGTGTTTCAAAAATATGACCCTTCCTTCACACTCAAATAGGAGTACCATACTGAGTGAAATGGTTATATGTAGTCCACCTCTCTTTGAAAGCACCCGTTCAGGAACTAAGGCTGCCCGCTTTCTAAACAAGAACAAAGAGATGGTAGGAACACTAATGACAAGCTAATGTAAGCCTATACTGTAATATTATTCACAGCAAGTGCTGGAACAAATGACTCAGCATAGGCACATGCGTCAGCAACGTTCATATACACCAACAGAGACTAACGTCCATTTCACTGTACACACAACACCACAAGTCTTCAGAACTGTGGTAGAATTGGTGTTGCAAAGACAGAAAAACTAGAATCAGGTTTTGTGATCATGCAGGCCATGTCACAATAGCTTTGGCACTGCTGTACACTGCCGTGTACATGACGTAATAAGACATTTATATATCATGCGATAATAATCATTTATCCCTATTCTTACAGAACTTAGAAAGTGAGGTGGCTACAGCTCCATTATAAACAATTTCCAGGCATATTTTACCAGACTTTTGGCTCAGTCTGGCATCCACGTCTGATTATGTGCAAAAAAGAACTTACTTCAGCTTCACCCCTAAATACAAAAACAAACTCCGTGGTTTCAGTCTGCAAGCAAACTATACCGACCTAGCGATCGCTGCTTGTCAGCGAAGTTAGTGCCAACTTTATAGAACAGAGGGTGTCACATGGTCAGCGCAACGAATCCCCACAGCTGTTAATTTCGGTTTTGTAGACCTGAGCTGCTATTTCCTTGAAATAGCTCCTCAATTATCCTCACGAGGCTGACTGGACCCTGTTCCAGACCCACTACTTCTCAGAAAATCTGGTACCACAGGGAATCGAATTCGGATCTCTGGATCTGTAGCCAGGAACCCTGACCACTAGACCACAGAGGCGGTCTCACCTCTATATAGTTAATTATTATAGAAATACTTCATATAATTAAGAGAAACATATCAGCTGTTCACACTGTCAAATACCACTGTATATGACAATGCAGTATATTTGATTTTGGAGAGAAACTCACTGCTGGCACTGGATTTCAACTACCAAGTAACCTCTGTAGGTTTACCCAAGAACAATGTAACAAAGCTTAAGAGCATATGGAGATGAAGCTCCACATATCCTCAGAACTTGGGACTAGATGGAGGTGAGTGGTAAGCTTCACCTTCCAGTTTCCTTCAGAATCAGGCAGAGCACGCTGGTGCTCACTGAACAGGAGACTACGTGGGCCCTAGAGCTATTCTGGACATGGTGATGAAGAAAAGAGTTCCCATTAACAACTAATGGGGATCATATCCCCAAAGTTCCAATCCACAGACAGCCATATTAACAAATGTTTTACTACAGCTCAATACTACCAATACAGAAATCACAAAAATTACATCCAATACATCCACAAAATAACATCCAAGATATAACAAATATAATTAGGGAAGAAATAACAAAAGCCAAAGGCACATATTTTCTAAACCACACCAAAAGCCCACATTAAATTCCTTAGCAATCATAACTTTTAATCTGATATTAACATAGGTTCATGGTATCTCATACAGTGCATCTAAATCTTGTCTTCTAACATGTTAAATACAAAATATTTTAATCTCTACTCACCTGTATTCTGCGGCCCATGGTCATCTCAAGATAGAACTCTCTATACCAAAGCTGGGACAGATCACAGCAATCTTGCAATGAGGCTAGAAATAAGATTCGCTTAATGTATCACTTCTAATATGGCAGGTCACACATAAAAAATGTACACTTCTCCCTTCTCCTTGTATTAATTTCAATCACAAAACAAACTCCGTGACCTGTAGTCTGCAAGTGAAGTATACCGACAAAGCGACCACTGCTTGTCGGTGAAGCTAGTGCCAACCTTTGCAGATAGTGTGTGTTGCATGGTCAGCGCAACAAATCCCCATGGCCGTTAATCTTGGTTTTCTAGACTGGAGCCGCTATTTCCTTCAAATAGCTACTCAATTATCCTCACAAGACTGAGTGGACCCTGTTCCAGACCCACTACTTCTCAGAAAATCTGGTAGCAGCGGGAATCGAACCCGGGAGCTCTTGATTTGGAGCCAGGAACTCTTGACAACTAGACCACACGGGCAGCCCAATTTTAATCATATTTTCTCTAAATATTATGTCAGTCAAAATTTGATTATGAAGAATTTTTGTCTTAATGTCCATAAAGAAACCCTGGGGTGGATCCCATAAGTGTGAATATCCATACTGTGTCATACTTCATTCAAGATTAATCAAATTTTCTGTGAAAATTATGTGCTGGCCAAAATTTTTTTGGATGGTAATTTTTGTCCAGTGTTCATGAAGAAGTCTTGTGTTGCAGTCCACATGCATGCATATCCATATCACGTTGTCACACTGGATTCAACTGTAAATGTCTCAATCTAACAAGTAAAATTACACTCTGGAAAGCAGTATTCACTTATCTGATGCACCACAACTTTCAGACAAGACCTATTTTAGGGTGGTAAAATGTACATAAATTACACAACTAAATACTGCAATAAGTTTGTGTCAACGTTTGACATTACCCTTGAGCCATGCGTTCTACTTAGGATCCGTTCAGCGGCTTCTCTTCCTACACCCCCCCCTTTTTTCCTTCTTCTCCTCGGAAGTTCTTGCGTCTAGAAAGTTCATCCGTCCTGGCCTATCACGTGATCCCCCCCCTCCTCTCCAACTGGTTCTGGTTTTATGGAGACAAGTAGGGTAGGGAGAGACGAACACTCTAGGACGAGAAGTCGGGGTAAACAGGTAACAAGCAAAATTCCTTTTGGGTGTGACCAGTCTAAATTCGGTTTTGGTGGGTTTCCCGTGAAAGTTTGGGACGAGGAATAGCCGTATTGGCGGTCTGGGGGCTATATATTTACATTTTTTGGTTGGCAAATATTGAGTTATTATTTTCTTGTGTGATGATGTATTCTATTATTTGTAAGCTAGATAAACTGTTAAACTAAACTGTAAGCTAAACTGTTAGCTAAACTATTGTGATCTATTATTTGTTTGTCAGAGAGTTATTGTATTGTATTCTATTATATTTGTTATATTAAACTTTTGTTACTGCTTGGACATCCCTTATATCTCAGGAGGTATTAAGACGCAACAGCAAGAATTAGGAGACGGAAGCGGCGTCTTCCCCTTGGTAGGAGGAAAGGTAAAGAGGGGAGGGTCAGCTCACCTTGAACTGAGGTGAATAGTGACACATTTACAAATGAGCACTAGAGATGTGCCTTTTGTAATACAAAATTTATTCCCTTAGGGTACACCTGATACTCAAAAAATGAAGCTATAATTTCTCAGACTTCCAGTGTGGTTATAAATTTGGGGGAGATACAAAATTATGTGCAAATTATGACTAAACTGAAAGGAAATTCACATAATACTGTCTTCAATTGGTTCAGTTAGTATCAATTATGGGTAACATAAAACCTGACCTCAACCATTTTATTCTTTTTACATCTTCCACTGTTTTACTTGCATGAAATAGTCCTAGGGACTACCTCCTAATTTTTGCCATAGCCGACTACTGGGTTTCGTTCTTGGGTTACAGTATGTTTCCCAAATCTCAGTTGTACTTACCAACCTGAAGTATAGATATGCTTTTAAATGAAGAACTGGAAATACATAGCTTACCTGCAAATTTATTGTGAACATTATTCTCTCTACACAAGCTTCATTTCTCAAAATGCATGTGGCCTCAACAGTTTCAATCACAGATGTTCTTTTTGGCATCTTTACTTTTAATATAAGCATACACAAAATAAATTATCATTCTTTGCTTGAAAGCACCTGTCCACTTACACACATTCTGGAACCATCATCAGTCATTGACTAGCAACATAACTTTCATGTCAACACAATACATCAGAACAACTAAAACTGTTAATTTTTCAAGCATGCTGGCACTGACTGTGAGAAGCTATTGTAAATGGAAGGACATTATAATATTCTGCAAGGATGGAAACGATCTTCAAGAAATGGAGTGGTAATACATATATCGCTTATGAAAATTTTTGTCTGATGAGTAAACTATGAGACATGGCATAGCTCAAGTGATTAGTCGCTGGCTTCCCAATGTGGCAGCCTGGGTTTGATCCCAGGTCTGGTCAAGTGGGATTTGTGGTGGACAAAGTGGCACTGGGGCAGGTTTTCTCCGAGTACTTTGGTATCCCCTGCCAATCTTCATTCCACTAAATTTTCCATCATCATAATCACCCGGGTCAGGCTACAATAGGCCAATCAGTGGCCGCCGTGCTGAGTGGACCCAGTTGGACTCCACCCCCCCCCCCAAGTGAATTTAAAAAGAATTAAAAAGAAACTATGAGACACTATTAGCTGTTTTCACTACTATCATATATAAGAAAGGTAACAATATTATAGCTCAGCATCAGAACAGAAATGGAGAATTTAACTGCATACCATTGGACTTACATATAAGCCTGTAAGATATACATACAGCAAAGTGCGTGATGGAAACTGAGATCTCCACGACTTACCGCTGAAGGCCAGCATGTAATTCCAGTAGAATGAAGTCTTGTGGAATTGATCAATTTGCACTAAGTATTGACCATCAATATCCTTGCGTAAAGTCCGTTTGCCACCAGATTTGTCCGCAATCAATGATTCCAACATGGTTCTCACCATGTATAGCTGTGTGGAAGAGGGCCCTATACAGACAAAATGAGGAACATCAGGAAGAGAACTGGATTTGTCAGAAACTTTTGTCAGAACACACAAATATGACATATATTCTAAATGCAGTTAATCCTTATCAAATGCATGGGTAAGATCCTGGAAAATGTCATATCTGGTACAGTTAGACATCTAAAAGGAAACTAATGTTCAGGGAATTTGAAAAAGAATTCTGTTATATATTTGTGCACTAAAAGCAGTTAGATCAAGCAGTAACAAGCATGAAGAACTGAATTAACTATCCAAAAGTGTGAATAACTACAAATTGGTACAAAGGATGGAGCTGTTGTAGAAGTGTGTTTCAGGGAAAGAGGTTAATGCTTCTGGCCAGTTTGGTGCTAATATGAACAACATATAAGAATATTTTCTTGTGTACAAGTAAACAAGAGTTGCAAAGGGGAATACATCACATAGTCAAAACTGTGGCGCAAAGGGCCATATCTTACAATGGTACAGTTTATTATCAAAACAGTAAATAAAACAAAAGTAAAATGGTGACATGTGAAACACAGCAAGTAACCCACCAACATTTCTGCGAGGTACTTTGATGCCAAACCCATTATCAGGGTCTTTCTTGCCCTTTAATGCTGGATCTGCCTGTGGTTCAACACCTCGCTGCCAATCCGCACAAGTCTCACGTACAGACACAATAATACTGCAACAGACAACCATCCTCATGGATTAGGATATTTGCACTGCTATGGTTTCCGATTATAAGATCCAACGTTAATATAAATAGCAAGTCCTAGAACTGGTTTTACCATCCTATCATAAATATTATATATCTGCCTCTTCTCTGGGTCATCATTAAGAACATTTCTGAGATATGTACATTTTTCATCCTTCCAGCATGTTTCTAACATACTGCTAGATATGAGATTCTCGCAGTCATGACTGTGAATTGTGTTCTCTTCTGCCATACAATGCAATGTAGTATGCACTGATGCTTCAGAGGTTATTCTGCTTGCTATCTGCTTCTTATTGGTTTCTTGCATGGCTTACTCTTTCGACACTGAAGGCACAAGCAGTTATGTCCTACAAAATGCTGCTGAACTTCCACAAGACTATATTATATTACATCTCAGAAGATAGTTCTTTTCTAACTACATTATTTGATATTTCTTCTCATATTTAATTATACATCTTTAGCTGTATGGACCATTTAGTGTCAAAGAAGATGAAAAGGTGATACATAATGGTGAAATGGAGAGGACTTGGAAGGAAACTGTAATGAATTATTTCAGATTACTAATACAAGAAAAAAAACTCTGTGGCCTGTAGTCCACAAGCGAACTATACCAACCGAGCTACCACAGCTTGTCGGCAAAGTTAGTGCCAACTTTTGTGGATAGAGGGTGTCATGTGGTCAGCACAATGGATCCCCATGGCTGTTAATCTAGGTTTTCTAGACCGGAGCTGCTATTTCCTTCAAATAGCTCACTTATCCTCATGAGGCTGAGTGGACTCCGTTCCAGACCCACTACTTCTCAGAAAATCTGGTAGTGCTGGGAACCAAACCTGGGACCTCTGGATCTGTAGCCAGGAACTCTGACCACTAGACCACAGAGGCGATCCTAGTACAATTAGGAGATATGTAAATCAACAAATACTGACCAGATAAATTCATGTAGACGCTGACTTACTTATGACATACCAACCTTCTAATAAGATCCTTTTTGTTCTTTATGGCTTTGCGGAGAGGTTCACGCAGCAACAGCTGTATAAAATCCTGCAGTTCAGCATAGATATTGCGACGGATAGCATCGGTAAACACAGTTTCCATTCGTGCCATGAGAACCTGTAAGCCTTTAATCATGGCTATTACTTCGATCAGGGCAAACTTTTCTTCATCTGTATAATTGTACCTTGTGGCCTGCAAGAAACATAGGAGACAAGTGTGAGTCCTGAATTTCTGATGTGGAATTGAAAGAGAAAAAAAAAAGTCTAGATCTGAGTGCTGATTCTTCTGTCTGAAAGATGATGATAAAAGATGAATTTTGAATAATATGGAAGGAATATATCATGGCCTACTTTAAGGTACTATCTGAACATTTTCCTGTATGATGTCCCCCCACAAAGAACTGAATCCTGGATATTCACAACACAGAAAACAACAGTGACATCTGGTTCACATGTGCCAAACTGGTCTTCAGTCATTTTATATCTGGAAATACTATGTTGCAAAGGTATAGTTACATTCTTTTAAGTATTTTGATATACAGATTAGCATTCAAGAGGCTCCTGAGGTATTTTAACACTTAAAAACATAAGTAAGCAAAATTGTAGTAATGTCTGTACCCTCTCATATTCCTCAGCCTCCTGAGGACATTCCTTGTTTTGATGGTGATCAGTAGGGTGAAGGAGCTTCCATGAGTACAGTTCTGTAACAACACTTGTCCATTCAGAAAGCAACTGAAGGCCACGAAGAGCTAAATCTGCTGTTTCTTTATTCTCTGCATCGCTTCGAGTCTCCTTGTATGTGGTAGTAACCTATAACATATTCTTGTGTTAGTCTCTGACATGCATTTTCAGTTATGGTGATTAACCAGTAAGGAAAAATAATTATGGTAGTGTACAAATGTCACCAACAAATATTGGGGCAAGTTAATTCCCACTCTGTGAATTATTGGTCATCTAGTACTGTTAAGGTACTGAAATCACAAGGGTTGCAATGGGCTAGACATTAAGTCTGACAGAAGGGACATTATGTGCACATCATATTTTAATGAGGGAACTTCTAAGAAAGCACATACCTGTAGACTGATAAGGTGATCAAGCTATGATACAAAGATGATTCATAGGGAAACAAATTATGAGGAAGGAAAGTGGAAATAAGTTCATATCATGTGTAATGGTAGAAAGTGAACATTCAGGTTCTACTGTCAGAGAACTGGGTAATAAAATTGCAGTTTTTAAGTGTGGTTTTGAATTTTTTTTTTTTTTTATGAATTGACAGTAAGAAATAGCAGTAGAGATTACTATAAATAAATCAATTAGTCAAATTTTGGTCTTCATTTATTGGCCTCTTGTCTGCCTGGTAAAGCAAAGGAATCCTCTCTGAGGTTGAAAATATTGAAAATGATGGCAAGAACTGTGGCCAGACAAGGAGGCTTACAACTGGTATCTGAAGTACATTTCTGGAGACGTGAGATCTGACAAAGCTAAACAATTTGCATCGTGACTAGACTAATGATTGGATCCATAACTTTTTCACCAAACGTCCAGCGTCTTAGTACCAATCCCCTCTTGCATTACACACAGGTTTTAAAATTTAAATCTGATGCTGCGATGACAATTTTGAACTGAAAATACTGAAAATGATGGCAAGAACTGTGGCCAGACAAGGAGGCTTACAACTGGTATCTGAAGTACATTTCTGGAGACGTGAGATCTGACAAAGCTAAACAATTTGCATCGTGACTAGACTAATGATTGGATCCATAACTTTTTCACCAAACGTCCAGCGTCTTAGTACCAATCCCCTCTTGCATTACACACAGGTTTTAAAATTTAAATCTGATGCTGCGATGACAATTTTGAACTGAAAAATGTTGTATTGCCAACCTCTTCCTGAGCAATATGCGCAGGCTTTATACTGATATATACTGGTATGTTATCCTAAAAATCCAAAGCAGCCATCATCAGTACTGGCCAAAGTTCATCCAAAGTCCAAACTAAAAGGAGAGACACTATTTTTGACACTGAACATTCATGTATACTTCTAAGTCTTATAATGCCATGGCAGTTGAGTTGGCTGCAATAAATAATTATTATTTTGCATTATTGTTTATTTTAAAGAGAAGTTTTAATCCCGAAAGCATTGTAGCAGTAGTACTTCATTAACTGTTCATTTTCAGTTTTTATATTTTTAGAATTTAAACAAATTTCTTGATACAAACATTACGGATTCTAAATCTAGCTCCAAAAAAAATCATATATCACTGAATCCACTGATCCATTATTTTGAGCAATGACCAAGACACTGGACATATGGATGGTCATTATCAATTCTGAACTGATTTTGACCTTTGACCATAACACATGTGTAAATTCAACTACCTACCTGCACTTGTCACATACATATTCAAGTACAGTGCGGGTCAGAAGACTCACCTCATTACTGTAACGTGCCAATTCACTGATGTACTTGACATGATCTTCTCTTATCTGCGGTAAATGCACCATAAGATCTGCTTGAGGACTGATGTTATTGGAACTGGACAGAGGCCATTTTGATGGATCAAAATGTTTACTGCGCTTAATGTAATTGAATGGAGCAATCTGCATATCACCAAATAAAGGAACCACCTCCAGATTCTGTGAATAAAAGGGCCTGTTGTTTTGATATGGAGCTGTTTTTTCTTATAAAAATGAAGATATTTTATACCATACTTACTTACTTATTCTCGGAGCTGAGCCCTTATTGAGGAGCCGCTAATTCTGCAGCTACTCAAGAATTTCCCAGCAATTTATGGAACCCGAAGGTTCATTACCGTGTTCACAAGAGCACTCCACTGGTCCCTATCCTGAGCCAGATCAATCCAATCCATCCCATCCCATCCTATCTCTCTAAGATCCATTTTAATATTGTCCACCCACCTACTCCGTCTTCCAAGTGGTCTCTTTCCTTCTGGCTTTCCACCAATATCCTATATGCATTACTCGTCTCACCCATTTGTGACAATGAATCACTCAGCTAATAAAATAAAATGACATTTTTCTTTATTTACAGATTAATTGTCTACCTTGAAAATGCGGTCTATCTTCTCTAGTTTCAGCTTCTTCTTCTGGTCAAGTTTGTTTATATTACACAGTTCACTGTCCATGAGAAACAGGCCAAACCCCATCACTTTGACCAACATGTGTTTCTCAGTAGGGGTCAAATACATTTTTGTTTCAAACATATGAACACAAATGTTGACCACATCAGCCAACAGCTCTTCATAGCCAAGAATTTTTTCTAAATTTTCTTTCACAGTATCTCGGATCTTATTCTGTGTTGCTAAGAACATGGAGAGGTTTTGGGACTCCTGAAGAGTTTGTGAATCTGCCATAACCTTCAGGAATTGTGCAGCCCTGTAACAGAAAAAATATTTCTGAAATCAAAGACAGACATCTGGCACTGTTATGACATAATATTTAAAATTACAGTAAACCTTCCACTTTGTATTTATGATGGACACATATAACTAAATTAGGAATGCTGAAATTGGAATTTTAGGAAGCTTAATGTACGTCTGTTTCCAGATGGAATAGAAATTCCAAGAAAAGTGCCACTTGTAACCATATGTCACTGGGGTGACGTATGCTCCAGTGAATGAATTTTCATGAAAATGAATGGCGCTATCAATAATAAATCTTATAACATATGGATATGATTAGTGATTTTATGCTATATTTACAAAATGTGCTAATATTTTGGGGATTCTTAATGAAGCCCAAGCCTGAAAAGATTCCTTTACACCCCATCACAATATCATATCGCCAATTTATGTAGGACAGAATTAAATTTTTATTTTATCTTCACGGAATTCAGAACCAAGCCTAACAGAATCTGCAGCAGAACAATTTCACAATATACTATGTATTTATACCTCTTCAGCACAAATGCACTTATACTCCTTTAGCACAAACCTGTATCATCTATGTTTTAAAATTTGTTTTACTTATGCTTATAACACCCAACATACATAGAGTACAAGTTAAATTAACTCTTTAAAGCCTGTAATTCATGTACATAATATATAAGTACACAGTTCCTACCTCACAGGAAACACATTATATCTCTGCTACAAAGGCAAACTAGTTAATGCTGCTTAGGGGAATAATTGATGGTTATTGTGAGAATCACATAAGACACATACAAACAATCAATGGAAAAAATGCAGTTTTTATATATTGAAGTAGGTCACACCTCTGGGCTTTAAACAGTTAAGCCCACCTGTCACCTACTTGAATTTGTTAGAAAAATAAAGGGGAACTGTATCTGTTTCAACCACATTAGTGCAACTAACAGACAACAGTTAGTTCGATTGCATCTACATTCTGTTTGTGCAGGAGGTGTAACTTGTCGATCAAGTTACACAACAGAATAGGACAGAATATATATTCCTGGCACATTATACTTTTTACTAGCATGATTAAATGACTTTGAGGAAATAGTTGGAATGTCAAAATTGGGCACAATGGTAATAAATCTTGAAACCTTCTAAAGTAGTAATAAACATACCTAACATTCACAACACTGATGGTACAGGTTAGCTCATAAACAAAACAAAAAACAAACTGTGTGGCCTGTAGTCCGCAAGCGAACTATACCAACCGAGCGACCACCGCTTGTTGGCGAAGTTAGTGCCAACTTTTGCAGATGAAGGGTGTCATGTGGTCAATGCAACAGATCCCCATGGCTGTTAATCTCGGTTTTCTAAACTGAAGACACTATTTCCTTGAAACAGCTCCTCAATCATCCTCATAAGGCTGAATGGACCCCATTCCAGACCCACTACTTCTCAGAAAATCTGGTAGTGCCGGGAATTGAAACAAGAACCTCTGACCACCAGACCACAGAGGCGGTCAGATTAGTTGCTAAAAGTAAATATAAAGGCTCATGGGAAATCAAGTGAACATCAATATGAAACAGTTAAGTTCTGTTTTAAAATTCTAGATTTGTTTATACACAAAAATCATGTAGCATCTAATACATGAACTTACCGCCTATATGTTGAGTAATCATTCTTGACACTGGATTTCATATTTTTAAGCTCATCCAAAACAGCAAACATATTTATAAACTTGCCAAGTGTCAAGAGATATGCTTCTGAAACAAAGTCTTTTCTTTTCTCTTGATGACATAATCTCTTTACTTCTGCAGAGAACCTCTCAATAGCCTTTCTCTGTAAGTGAAATTCAAATCTTAATATGTTAATATGATCATAACACTTTCGATTAAACAACATAACAGAAACCAGACTAATTTTCTGCCTCTAATAAAATCTTAAAATCCACCTAACAAGGACGAATGTGAAGGTTTAAGCCAAATCTGGAATAAATATACTTTCTGAAAGTGTTCCTTCTGATTTTACACACCTGAACATACTGACTGACTGACTGACTGACTAATGCCATGGAGCTGAGCCCTTCTTGAGAAGCTGCCAGATGTGCAGCTACTGACAAATTCCCCCAGATGTTATGGAACCTGAAGGTTGACTACCATGTCCACATAAGCCCTCCACCGGTCACCATTCTCAGCCAGATCGATCCAGTCCACACCACCCCACCCCACCCTATTTCTCTAATATCCATCTTAATATTATCCTCCTTCCCATTGGTATCTTACCTTCTGATTTTCCCACCAAAATCCTTTATGTATTCATATTCTCCCCATGTGTACCAGATGCCCTGCCCATCTCATCCTCCTTGAATTGTTCAATCTAATGAAGCTCGTCATTATGCAATTTTCTGCAGTGTCCTATGGCTTAATCCCTCTTTGGTCCAAATATTCTCCTCAGTGCCTTGTTTTCAAATACCCTCAGTTTATGTTCTTCCCTTAATGTCAGAGACCAAGTTTCATACCCATACAAAACCACAAGCATAATTACAGTTTTGTACATTCTCATTTTTTCATTTTTTGACAATAGATGAGAAAACAAAAGGTTCTGAACTGAATGGCAGCAAGCATTACCCGAATTTTGTCTCCTCTTAATTTCCTCGTGAATCAAATTTTGATTTGACACCTGGTAGCACAGCTGGTTGAGGCACTATGCTACAAGCTGAAAGGTCATGGATATGATTCCGGATGAGGTCATTTGATATTTCAATTGACATAATCCTTCCAGCTGCACTCTGGCCCTGGGGTCAACTCAGCTTCTAACAGAAATGAGTACCAGGAATTTTCCTGGGGGTAAAAGGTGGCTGGGGCATAAGACTGATAAACTTACCACCATCTGTGAGCTGATTGTCTAGAAAATGTGGAAGCCTTAACATCTCACAACTCTATGGCCCTCCATGGCATGTTACAGGGATACTTTTACCTTTTTTTAATAAAATTTTTATTTGTTATTGCCCTTCCCATATATTTGAACTGTGCCACATTTTCAAAGTATCTATTGGCCATCTTTATATTACGATTTTGCCATCTTTCACAAATTGTTTGGTCAACACTTTGAAGAGTATCATCACTCACTATGAATGTCCTGGTGACCACTTTGCTTTTCAATGTGAATACCTGTCTGCCCATCTTTGAGCCGTCTACACCACTGCCTTAGAGTTCTTTCACTCATTACATTTTGGCCATAAACCACCATGCATAATTCACAATGAATTTCTGCAGCACTCATGTTTTTATAAGAAAGTGGATAACAGCACAAATTTTTTGGCTGGTTGGTTTATCAGTTGCAGGATACATCATAAAGAGACCACAGGGAAGACCAAGGCGTAGGTGGGCGGACCATATTAGAAAGGATCTTAGAGAGATAGGATGGGATGGTATTGATTGGATAGATATGGCTCAGGATACGGACCAGTGGAGGGCTCTTGTGAACACGGTGATGAACCTTCGGGTTCAATAAATGCTGGGAAATTCTTGAGTAGCTGCAGAATTGGCGGATTCTCCAGAACGGCTCAGCTCCATGAGTAAGTAAGTAAGTAAGTAAGGATACATCATAACTCACTCTGTAGTGACAACAACAAACACTAGATGATCAATTATGTGATGGTTTACAATGCAATGAGTCATCTGACACTACCTTGCATGCACCAGTACCCCCTGCTCCTACATCAGTTACCTACAATAAAGAAAGGTTACTTTCTGAATAGCCCTCATATATCCACCATTCAAGTATCTAAACTATGAAAGAAGCAAAGAAGCAAAACACTAAGACAGAAAGAACTGAAGGCTGTGGATGTGTACTGCCTTATGCAATCACTCACCTGAAAGTACATGAAGTTCAGAAGTTTGTTTACCTCTGGTGCAAGTACCTCTACCGTCTTCTCATATATCTCGACACGATTTGGCTGCTCGTTTGACTTTGGCTGAGGAATGGCACGTGAACAGCAGCGCCATGTGTACAGCATCACAGCATGACCTAAGCCTTCCTCAAGAAGCTCATTCTGTGCAAACACGGATATTGTTACTAAGAGAGAAGAAGTTTAAAATATTATGGCAGAATATTACACTTCTACATAAAAAAGGAAAGATATTTCTGTGCTGAATTAGTTAAGCACTACACCATGAAGGTGTATGGGGGCATGATGGTATTGATCCACGACGAAGCAGATGGCTGCTCACGCTGGTTCCTGGAAGATGGAGGTGATATGTTCCTCCAAAACGTTGGTTTACACAATATTTACATGGTGCCACATACCAGAAGACAGCATTCTTCATAGTCACCGCAATGAAAACCTCAAATCTTACACCTAGACCTTGGTCTGTCCATAGGACATTCATCTGGAGTCTCTATTTCAGATGCTCTCAGAATTCATATTCATGTCGAACTTTCTAGACCACCTCTTGGTCTAGTGGTCAGAGTTCCTGCCCACAGATCCTAAGGTCCAGGGTTCGATTCCTGGCACTACCAGATTTTCTGAATAGTGGGTCTGAAACGGTGTCCACTCAGCCTCGTGAGGATAATGGAGTAGCTATTTCAAGGAAATAGCAGCTCCAGCCTAGAAACCCGATATTAAAGGCTGTGGGGATCCGGTGTGCTGACCATGTGACACCCTCTATCCACAAAATTTGGCATTAACTTTGCTGCCAACCGGCTGCTGCTCGGTATAGTTTGCTTGCGGACTACAGGCCATGGAGTTTAGTTTTTTTTTGGAGTCTAACTTTCTACTCTATACGTCAAAATAAGTTCTGGCACTTGCCCTTTCCAAAGATATCTCGAAGAAGCAATGAACAGGATTCTGCAGAATTAGCTTACCAAGCTTGCATGTACAGTGGCTTCTTCAATGTATTTTGCAATTCCTGTCACAAAGCCATTCCTGTCTTCAAAGTTTGTGTCAAAATTTGCTTGATACACGACAGAACAAGGCTGAGCTTCTATGCATGGTTGTTCATCTGGTAATGTAAGTTCATCCAAAACATCAACATTTGACAAAGCATCGGCAAGAGTAACCTTTTCTGTAGCCATTGTAGATGACTGCATCTGAAATTCCACACACAAAAAAGCCTATTAATGGACACACAGAGGAGAATATTCAGCTTGAAGTGATTTGGATAGGTCTAACATGGAAGAACACAGTAAAATTAATTTAAGTAAGTACAGAGCAATGACGGTCCCAACATGGATATTTTCACTTATGATTCTGAACATCTGATAACAGACTCTGTGACTGGAAAAGAATAATAATTTCACAGAGATAAGCCTGGTTGTAAGATACAGATGTAGCGGCCTCCGTAGGCTAGAGGTAACGTTCCCACCTCATGACTTGTGGTACGTGGGTTTAAACCCGGCGGAGGTCGTCGAATTTTTAAGGGAAAAAAAATTCAGGGAACAAGTCCTCTGGGAGGGACTTTAAGCCGTGTGTTCCACGTCATAGATTTACGACACGTAAAAGAACCTCATATCTCCAAAGGAGGTCACTGAGCCAAATTCAAGGACGTTTCCCGCCTAACAGTAGTCTATAACGCCTCTGATAGATGGGGGAAGCATCATAGATACCGCCAAGCTAGTGGAGGCCGAACTCGCTGGCTCGGTCGGGACTGATGGTACGCACCAATATCGGTAGGGTATAGAGACTGGTAGAATATCATAGTGGGAAGCACAATGGACCAATACTGGTCTAAGTGCATGGGGAAACCCACCCTCTCCAATAACTAACTAACTAACTAACTAACTAAGTAAAGAGCAATGGCGGTCCCAACATGGATATTTTCACTTATGATTCTGAACATCTGATAACAGACTCTGTGACTGGAAAAGAATAATAATTTCACAGAGATAAGCCTGGTTGTAAGATACAGATGTGGGAACACAATGTGGGTGTGTTGTTATATGAAGAGACAACCACTTGTTGAATTGTTCTGTAAATATTTATTATAATTGCACAGTACAAAGAGAGGAGAGGTGTGGTGTGAGTGTTGCAAGCAGTAATATTGTTGGTACTATACTATTAGTCTGCAATTCTCCAAACCGAAGTGTGTCTGTGTACTGTGCAACTATAATAAATATTTACAGAACAATTCAACAAGTGGCTGTCTCTTCATATGACACACCAACACACTGTTTGGGTACACCATCATTTTTGTAAATTAATCTTCTTCGTACACTGATTACTTCCATCATGATTCATGGTGGTGTGGACTGAGACTTCTTTAAGAAAGCTACAAACCTTTCAGCATAATAATTTTAAATGAAATGCAGAGTATAATATAATCCCTTAAAAGCACATTCCAGGGAAGCATACTGATCACACACAAATGCTTAATCCTTGGAAAATCCATACTGTGATATACAATTTCACCTTTATTTAGACGTGTAACTGCCTCTGCACATCATAAGGAGAAACGTTACATATTATATGTACAAACAAAAAACTGGAATTCATACTCAAGACAACATTACAACCTGTCTATGGCTCTACAGCCCTTGTGGACTTTCGAAGCTTTTTTCAGTTTCTTAATCCTACACACAGTCGATATGACTACTGTGACGCAGGCACGCTACTTAGGCACAGAACAACACAAACACAGTATAAACGCACACAGGCATCCAGGCCTCAAGTGGGATTCGAAACCATGATCCCAGTGTTCGGCACATTACAACCTCAACCCAAAGAAAAATGACTGTGAATAACAATCAATATCAACTGAGAATCTTAGCGTTTAAAGATTGCCACTGAGAAGAATAACTAGGAATCACTATTCCTGCCTAAAACGAATCTTGGATGATGAAAAACTCCCCTAAATACGGTCACTTGCAAATTCAAAAAAGTGTCTGGTCCATAAATGAGTCTCGAAACCACTAATTCTTTAGTATTTATATATGCCATACTTCAGATACAACAAACAATTTTACACTGCTGCTTAAACTGTTCTATTTTTTCAAGCAATACATCATGCTTACGTGTTTAGTGCAATACACCTCTCAAAACCGAATTATTGACACATCCATAGGCGTTTCCATATTCCCGTACACCACAGGCACCAACCGCTGAAGAGATAAAGTCGACCGAAGTCACCGAAGTTGACTACCGATCGGTACCGATCCCGACCTCCACAGATTCATACTGAGCGATACTAAGGGAATGTAACGTACAGCCAAGTTCAGATACCTCTGCCATCTAATTTATAAATATGGTAACTACTGCAGCGATGACCAGCGATGACGATGGCACGGGCGGTATTTCGTCAATTTGAGTTTCCAATTTACCAGATTTACCAACGAGCGTCTGTGTGGATTAGTGCCCAGAGTTCCTGGGTTCCTGAGTACAACTTTGAAGGTGGTGGTTTCGGTTTTTGGCACTACCAGATTTTTCTGAGAAGTAGTGGGTCTGCAGTGGGGTCTACTACATGAATATTATAAACTGGTAAAATTTTTAAGTGCTGTAAAAATTTATTACTGTTTTGATCTGTTTAATACATTATGGCTCACATCAGAAAAGGTGGCTTGAAAGAAATGATAGTTATTTCAGAACATAACACTTCATAGTGTTAATTTGATTTTGGAATTAATTTTAGACACAGATACAAATATCTGCTGCTCTACCAAAAAACTGTAAAATTTATGTATATGATGGCCATCCCAAAGATCAGGCAGTTAGTCGCCAGTTTCCCACCATGGGGGCCTGGGTTTGGGCCAAGGTCAGGTAATGTAGGATTTGTGGTGGACAAAGTAGCACTGTTGCAGGTTTTTTCTGAGTACTTTGGTTTCCACAGCCAATTGTCATTCCATCAACTGCTCTACATTCATCATTGTCATCCAAGGCTGGTAAAGTGGGCCAGTTAGTGGCTGACGTACCAAGTGGTGCCAATCTGGCCCCACCCCCCCAATAAAAACTAAAAAAACTAAAACTGTGTATATGACACATTTCTCATAAAAACAGATTTTCTCTCATGATTACCGTATTTACGCATGTATAGGCCGCAGCACAATTTTCAGACAGAAATTATAGAAAAAATAATTTTCTTGGAATATTATTTCAGGAGTAGAACACTCTGTATTACTAATTATGAATATAGTTTTTTTAAAATGAAGAGTGATTTCGAATATAAGCCACACCCAAGTTTTCCTGTTGAATTTTTGGCAAAAAATGTGTGGCCTATTCATGCGTAAATACGGTATATCACACCAGCTAACAAAATAATATGCAACTTGCAAAGACTGAATTCATAAAACTTGCAGAAGTCAGACCCCAAATTATCTAAAATGGACTACAAATGCAAGTGATTATTCTCTTACTTGCTGCACAGAAACCCATGTACATGTGAAGGAAGTTGTACTGAGAACAAATGATTGGGGTGGTAGTGTGGAAAGGGGGAAGGCACAGGTTGAGGTTATAAAGTAAATATTTGTGTGTAATCATGGTCCAGCTCTTTGTATTTCATGGTCAGCAGGCTGCAATAATGATTCAGATCTTCCTGCATGTTTACTAATCTACTGTACTGCTTGAGGCATTTGTACTGATGTCACTGCAAAGCGATGTCACACCACGGTTCTTATGTCAACTTGATGATAATAAATATTGAATTACAGGACTCTGTATATCCTTTACAGGGGCACTCCAAATGTATGGAAATGGGAATACATTTCTTAACAAAATGTTATGAAGACAGAGTTAAAATGTCTCAACACCATGTGAAGCTTTCTTGTATCATTTCATCTCTGAGACAGAAGAAATGTTCCACAAATATCCATGCATTGAAAGCAAAATACTTTTATTATTATTCATTCTCTTTATTCAAACATATTATAAATATAACTTTCAATAATGTAGAAGTCAATATATTTAAGAATGTGCAGGTATCCACAGGTCCACTCATAATTAACACAAGAATCAATTCAGAGCACAGACTGTTCACTGAATGTTGTGATTGAATGACTGGCATTCCTGCTTCATATTTGGGAGGACTTGAGTTCTAATTTCTAGCAGGAGGCCAGCTGTCCTTACTGAAACTTTCACTGGGTTTCTCACTTACTCCAGGAACCCACAAGGATAGTACCTTGACTTAGCACACAACTCTTCCTACATCATTATTTCCTCTTCATTATCCATTGATTGTTTTATTATCTACGCTATTGGAAGAATCATCAAATGAACTAAGGATAGGGAAATAAAATACGGTGTGATTCATTCATAACTAATGGTGTGATTAAGTACAAAGTATTGACTTAATTATCAGGCAAACTGCCAACTGCTTGCAGAAGACAGTTTTCTAAATTTGATAGGTCAGTAATTGTAATTCATGCGAAAGATAGAAGAAAACCTTGATCACCCAACATGATCATAAATTCTGAAATGACAATATGGCTTCAGTGATTTTGAATGGACATAATTCCACATATTCAAAGTTTCAATTCACAATAAATCACTCCCTTAAAGAAAAAGAAAAGTTAAGATGAGAACACATTTTTAAATAGACTGCAATTTTATGTCTTTATATTTAGCTACACACAATTCAAAAGTAATTTCCTGAGAAGTTTATAAAGACTTCTGCATCTTTTAAAAGTGTATTAATATTTTGAATATTCCTATTTAATAATTTAACAGAAAATTTGTCATTATAAAGGACAGATGACTTAACACACTGTTGGAAATTATACTTCATTTTTGATAAAAAAAAAAGAAAGATAATTAAAAATACTGACTGAACTTGCACATTCTTATATCATTCTGTGACAACAGTCAAACAGTAACATAAATTGAGCCTGATATTCTTATCCAGGAATTCTACTGAGTGTACAATCCAAGCCTCATCATATGCAAAATTACAACACAAGTTTATGCAAAATTTACACCTGGAATAATCCAGAATGTCTCAAGACACAGTTTTAAATTTGACACTGCCGCTGAAATTACAGATAACATATTAGAGTCAACCCAAATGACATGACTTGAATGCTACCTGTGTAGAATCAGGAATATTGCTGGTGATGGTGTTCAGAGTGTTTTATTGTTTCTTGAACACGGTCAGAATAGGTAACAGCCCTTTCTCCCTCATATTAGAGTGTGTGCACTCATGCACATGCATGCGCACACAGCATAAAAAACACAATAATGAAAGACTAGTATAACCTTTAGAATAAGTTACAAATAAAAGGAAATAGGAAGAATTTGCACAGTGACTCACAGACCAAAACACATGCATGCATATGCATATCCACAGTTCTAAGAAGACTTTTGTGAGACTATCAAAATTTCTCAACAAGGAAGACTTCAAAGGGTGAAAAATATTGAATATATAATTAAAACAGAGGAAGTAACTCACCCATTGAACAGTAAAATTGAATATTTTTTAAGGAGTTCTGATCACAGAGTTATAGTTGGCCACTGCCTTCAAAAAGCAGTCAAAGAAAATTAATATATTTTCTACTCAAAATGTAAGATGTTAAAAATTGGATGATTTGGGTTTGCTCCAATATGGTACTCATTCACATTTCCATGCCTCGGCTTCAGTACAACCTCCGGACAGCAACCTATCAATAGGTCTCACACAGCTATGGTAAAATCATGGCTATGAAGACGGATTTTTCGAGCCAGGTTGATGTCCATGCCAATATCGCATTCAGCTTCACTCAGTTCATGAGTATGGACATCACCAAAGCCAGATGGTGGCAGAACCAGGGCTTCTGATTCTACTTGCAGCATCTCTGAAGTACACCTTCTAAACAAATGAACATGTTATGCACATTGACATATATGCAAAATAGAATACTGCATAAAGATAAATACCCATTATAAAATGCTGTGTTGTCAGCCACAGTCCCTCCCCAATATTTACTGTTTAAGAAAATCATTATTTATGTTGGAAACAGTCATTCGTCTTGTATTCATAATTTTCCAGCACTGTCATGCACATGTATGCATATTTTTCTGAAATTCAGTATTTATATTGCTGTAAGAACTTTCTTTTCTCTGTGGGATCTCTCCTCATCTTCCTGTTCACATTCAGTGCCATGGGTGACCACATTTTTATCAATATTATCAACATTTTAAGACTTATGTAATCATCCTTATCTTCGCTCTCATTGATAGACTTGTCCATGAAAATGAGATAGAGTTCCAAGTTACTGCAACACTCCTGAATTGAACAACAGTATTCCAATCACTACTGTAAGCTACGGAGATATTCAATTTCCAGCAAGTAACAACAGATCAAGTCTTCCAGCATGTTAGTTTCAAGTAGTGCATGATATTCTGCATGTAAATAGTGACACTCTGAAATAAATATAAAATTTGAATATAGTTCAGTTAAAATCATTCATGATTATGAGCCACAGCTGCCACATGTATTTTGTCTAGCTTTATATTTTCTGCGTTGTGGTTTTTAAAATATGCGCATGAAAATGGCCACAATCCATACCTCTCCATGTGATAGCAGAAAAGTACAGTCAGCTTTTTCTTGTATTTACTTTCTTCATGACATATTTTTTCTTTAATTTTCAATGTTCTGTTTGGTTGAGAATTATAAAACAGTGGAATTTCATATATACTGAACATGTTCTGTGGCACAATTTTTTTCAACACTGATGCCACATATACATAGCAGCTTCTACATCTGCAGAAGAATATTCACCATTTATTATTAATGATGTTATATTATGTGACTGTCATATCTTTGCACCCAGCCATTTGATCATTTATTGTGAGCCTTTATTGTAAAAGTTGAAATTCTCACAGTGATGTCTATGAAGAATTCTATTTGTAGGATGTAGTTCACTGAAATTCAACTGACATTTTGGAGAAACACATGTCCTCCATCTTTAGGGTCAAAGAATGATCCAGGCAAGAAACCTGCAAGAAGTGTCTTACTGATGACTCTATTATTTAATTGTACTGAACTTTGAGATCATCAGACACTCATTTGCATTTGAATGGAACAACTAAGAATTTAGATTTAAAGTATTTACAGATTAACACTGGTTCACATTAGTTAGGCTGTTACTTCCATCCACTATCATGAATAATTAAGTCTATTGCAAGATGTATGTAATTCCAGCTGTGAAATATAGATGTCAGTAGTGTCTTAAATCTTACTTACTTACCTACTCATTGAGCTGAGCCCTTCTGCAGCTACTCAAGAATTTCCCAGCATTTTATGGAACCCGAAGGTTTATTACCGTGTTCACAAGAGCCCTCCACTGGTCCCTATCCTGCGCCAGATTAATCCAATGCATACCATCCCATCCTATCTCTAAGATCCATTTTAATATTGTCCACCCACCTACACCATGGTCTTTCCAGTGACCTCTTTCCTTCTTGCTTTCCCACCAATATCCTACATGCATTCCTCGTCTCCCCCATTCGTGCTACATGCCCTGCCCACCTCATCCTCCTTGACTTGATTATTCTAATTATACTTGGAGAAGAGTACAAGTTATGAAGCTCCTCATTATGCAGTTTTCTCTAACTTCCTGTCACTTTAAATCTTAGGAAATAAAAACAAATGCAAAATAACAAATAATAACAAGGAACGATTTCGCTGTCAATTCAGTTCATCCTCACCATTTCTGATGTCCCTGGTTAAAGAGCTAGAGTGGTGAAACGTTGCAAGTCCAGCCTACAAAACCTATAGCTATATTTGTGCTGGCTGAATTGGACACGTATACCTCACCTGAGTTTGTTGTGGCAAGGAAATGTTCTGTGTTCAGAAATTGGTGACGGCTCTGTTGATGTACTTGATTCTTGTGTGTGGTAGAGGAAATCTGAAAATTAAAAACATGCAGTTTTATATACAATTACGGTATTTCATAGAAAGAGACCAAGTAAGAGATCAAGACATAGAAGGAACATCAATATTAAAAGTTAAAAATTTGTAGAAGCTACATTCTTAGAAATTTACATGTACTTGTTTGTTCACAGGAATCAAGGAACTAAAATTCGATGGATAGGGCATCTAAAAATATAAAACAATTATATTTCTTCTTACAGCGTAATTCTTGATTTTATCCAATTTATCCTATTTCACAGTAGGAAACAACCACGTGTGCAGAATAAGTTCAGTTATAACAATAACTATTTCTGGGACATCCTGGTGGTGCACTGGTTAATATACTAGCCAAGTAGTCCAGAGTTTTGATTCAAAACATTGCCATGAATATTAAGAATACAAACATAATAAAAGTATGTCAGCACAATGAGAACCAATAACATGAAGAGGGGAGTACAGCTGCATCCTGAAACATCATGTGTCAAATATTTTTCAGACCATGAAGAATTTCAACATAATATTAATATAATGATCTGATAATTTTTACAAACCATAGAGAACCTCAAGTTTCTATATTTACAACCAATTATGTTTTTAGGTACCACATTTTACTGTAATGGACAGTTGTTTTGAACCAAAAGTTTATTTTCAAGATCAGCTAAAAGTCAGTCAAATTTTAAGTTCTTAGAAAATTTTTATCAAAATGTTACAGATTTAATAACATTTTAAAGAAAATGTTTTCACATTTATAAAATTAATGCACATAACACAACACCAAAGAAAAAAGATGATGATGATGATTGTGCCGATAACAACGCCAATGACAACTCTGATGATTATGATAATTAAATTACATTACATTACATTGCATTCCTTGTATCCAAAGTCAATTAAATGACTGTAGGATCTGGAATATGTCATATAAATACAAAATCATATGTACAGTACAACTGAGGTTTTCACATAAGGAAACCCAACAAGTTATATGCCAGATTGTTTTTATCTGGTTATCTTGGTTTGCTATAAGACTACAGCAATGCTGCCTTTTAGAATTTTATTATGTTCCACTGTATCAGATGTGGCAAAGGGTTAACCGTTTTTGTAACTTCATTCCAGAAGGAGTGAATTCTTAAGTTTGCTAGAAAAATGATATGTATCAAAAGAATAAAATGGACATACATAGAATGACAAAAAGGAATACTAACTTACTGTGATGGGCTGGTCTGTGAATGCCAGCCCTGCCTGCCCCAGGGCCTGGATCATCTAGATGGTTGGAGGATTCAGTACGACTGGAAGTGCCTTGCTCTGTATCACTATCAGAGCCAAGGCTGTCATATTCTTCACTCTCTGACTTGTGAGGTTTTGATTTTCGACCTGCCCGAGATCTTGTTTTTAAATGATGTTCTGGATCACACTAGAAATATCAACCCCTTTGATTACTAATTTGTATGAGAGTAATAGACATATATTAAATATTACTAGGAAGGAGGCAGAAATCCATTGTTTGAATTGTAGTGGAAAAATATGCCAGATGGAGTGTAGCAGAAGTTGCCCCTTACTATATTTTTTGTATCGGTCATCAAACTTACATACTTAAGAGGGTTCATCATACAGGTTCAGGGTTTGAGAGTCAGTGTGTCTTAGACGCAATATTACATCCCAAATTAATTCCAGGATGGGTATATTTCTCAAAAAGTGCTGAAAAATTGGAGAGAGTGACTGTCTGTGAACTGTGACTTCCTTTTGTCTTAATCCAGCATAATCAGTGCATCCAGAAACTTGTATCTAACAGTGACCAGTGGAACTGACAGAGAATGAAGTGTTACACTGTTATGTTACATTACAGGAGAAATTTCTCACACTTTTGGCATTAATTGGAATTTTTTCAAAGTAATAATATTAACTGAGGTGAAAAAAATTATAACAGGGCATAAACTCAGGTGATTGGTAGTGCTTATCATCCACTGTAATAAGGGAAAAATGCTTCCACACCTTTCTCTCTTTGAAAGCTCTGTAAAGTTTGTTTTTGTGAAGGTAAATTTATTGATGTTTTCTGACATTGAAGAAAAGACCATGATCTAGATGGATCATTTTGTGTAGGCAGTTAATAATTTATGACACTATTCACTATTATCTATTAACGTCAGGGCCACTGACATGTTCTTACAAAACAAAACAACTGTCAAACAGGAAGTTCTACCATAAATTTTGATAGAACTAACCTGGTTTGCAGTGCCATGTAAACAAACAATACAACAGTAGTACAACAGTCTTCATGGGATGAATCCTGTTGGGTCTCATTAATCGCATTTTATGAGACCGTCTACGAACAAAATCGATACTAATGTCCAGCATTTGTTTATTTGTCATGTTTCAACCCTTATGAGGTCATCATCAGGTGAATCTATAGAAATGTGATCTTAGTCACTGAATTGTATTTCTTAATATGGATCCATATTATTATTATTGTTATTATTATTATTATTATTATTATGTTTTACCAATTGCTTATCGAATATACATTTTTTTTAAATATACTCTAACAAATACACAGTTTTTAAATTAAGTTTAAGCATTAAAATTAAGATTAGAAATTGAATATATGGCTTCCATTAATATTAATACAGTTTCAGTCTTAAAATTAATTACCCAAATTAGACTTTGATTTTAAATTAGCTTAGAATTTAGAAGTAGATTTTAGGTTCATCGGGTGTTGTTATGGTTGCTGTTAGGTGGTAAGGCATAGGTCGAAGCAATGAGAGGGGACCCTTCTAGAAGTCTCTAAAGTTTCTTTAATTCTTTGCCCAAACACATGAAAATGTTGGAAAAATTCGTGAAATCATCAAGGAAGATCGACGATGGACCATTGAAGAAATTGTGGAGCTGTTGGGAGTGACTTGGAGCTCAGTTCAGCGCATTTTGACAGAAGATTTGGGAATGAAAAGGGTGGCTGCAAAATTCGTGCCATGACTCCTGAACAAAAACAAGGTCGCGTGGAAGCATGCTGTACTTTGAAAGAAGAGTCCCGAAATGATCAAAACTTTTTTTCAGCACTTTGCTGATGTTGCTGAGGTGAAGGAAGAAAACGACGGAGGTGCTGTCAAGCATCTCTAAAGATGAATTTAGACAATGTTTTGAAAAATGGAATAAAAGACTAGACAAGTGTATTAGTGTAAGTGGAGAGTACTTTGAAGGGGATTGAAGGTTTGTGCTTAAAATTTGAATAAATAAGTTTAAAAAAAATAAGTTCGGTTTCTTTTGGGTACCCCCTCATAGTGTATTCACTGAACAAATGGTAAAATATTATACTAATATGAATCCATATTAAGAAATACAATTCAGTGACTAAGAATACAATTCTATAGATTCGCCTGATGATGACCTTATAAGGTTCAAAACATGTAGAGATGCCTTTGCCAAGTAAACGAATGCTGGTATGTTAGTATCGATTTTGTTTGTAGATATAATTGTTGTGTAGAAGGTCCCATTAAATTCTCTTAGTAGTACAACAGGTCTTATATTAGGTGAAATTTAAATATGAAAATAATATGGTTTGACTGAGGAGGCATTCAATGATACTGGCACTTGGCTAGAAGGCAAACCACCCAAAAATGTTTGATTCTTTGTCTACAGTGTGGTGTATCTTAAATAAAAGAACTATTACAGCTACTGACCCACAAAACTCAAGCTATAAAAGCTGTATAACCTACAGATTGTGAAGCAAGTGTTATGTACTTTATGTGGTTTCACGAAATGGTGGTTAGTGGGGTTTTGATCCATAATTTTAATTTATTCTCTGATGAAGGTTGATTTTAAGTAATTATGTGGGCAATCTAAACTGCTGTGCAGAAAATCCCCACAGTGTTCATGTTATTTCTTTGTATGATCTGAAAAATTGGAGTCCAGTGTTTAATCAGCACATGCTGAATATCAGGGCTTATATGAGATTTGGATTCTCACAGGCTGAGTAAAATTAATGTGGTCTTCTGGTATGTGACACAATGTGGTTTGATGGCTGGATACCAACACTTAGGAGCAACCTGCTTCCCCCATTTTCAGAGTGGAAGAGATGCTCTGAAGATAAAAGCAGCAGGTTTCTTCAAAGTTCTGGAAACTACAAGGCATCACATACCAGAAGACCATACTATTAATACGACCTTCTTCAAGATAAAATAAATAAAAAACACAGAATTAGATTAATTCTAGTGCCCTTGTTTGATAAAATAAATATCAGCCATTTACATTCAGAGACAAATCTACTTTATAGAGTCTGGTGAAGAGCAAAACTCTAAGGCTTGTCTACTTTACCTGTTTACTTTGTATACTGTTCACAGGACAACACTCATAACCAAACACCTGTTGCATCGGCATTTGTGGATTTCCTGCCATGGTTTCTTGTTCTGCTAGATGAAATGTTGCATATGGGTAAATATCCTCAGAGTATTCTGTAAGTATTGCATAGGATTTCATCAACCATATTATGAGTGCGGTTAGCATTTCTTGCAAAACCACGACTTGGATTTTAAAAAAAGTTTGTTTAATATGCTAGCAAATTAATAAATTATCTTCTATGCTTTTGAAATAATTGACAATTTAATAAATGCATTGATAACCAAAATTAAATATTTAGAAGTTTTCTCAAATGCTTGTCAATTAACACAGTGCGGTATGTTTCCTGGTTGCACATGTAGGAAACATTTTCCATATATGGAAGGTAGCTTGAAAATATTGACCACACAACTGTGGAAAACTGATAATGGGTGGTCCTCAGTTTGAAGAATTAGGGGCTGGTTTAAAAGCACTTTACTGCAAAACTGTTGTTTGCTATGGAGATTGTAACAAAGTCATGGAATAAGACAGATTTTTAGGGAGAACACTTTTATCTTAAGATTCCACTATTTGTACTTCAAGGCTTATCTGACTATAATTATTATGACCTTAATATTACAATAAAAGTATCACCAGTGTCTAATTCAGAATGTTCATTTGATTTTATGGACAGAGCTGAGTAGGTCAGAAGCCACTGTTTTCTAGTCATCAGCCCAGCTGACTTCAGTCTCTACATATAATTTCAAATTGTGTTAAAAATAGGGGGGAAAACTCTGAAGGTCTGAACTATTTCTGTTGTACTATTGTATCGTTATCTTTTTCATGGCAGCACTTCTATCCACTGTTTTGTCCTACAATGATTACTTTTTTGCATGCAGTTTCTGATGAGCTAGTGTAGTTCATTATGATATCATTTAAAATATGGCTATAATCTACCTAATTACAGTGCCTGTTGTGAGTGTTCTACTGATGATAAGTTGTAAAATGCACTTATTTAATGTTTTATTAAACATTTATAGGACTGTCAATAAAATTTGTGAGAATGGTTATGTGAAAATTTTTTATTCACCAATTTGGTACCTGGTATGCGTTCAAGGCCAGGGGACTGTAACTGTGCAGGTTTTCGGACTGTTGCATAATAACGTTCCCGTTGTTCTGCATTGTGCTTGTTATCCAAAGCAGCAGTTGCATCCTGAAGACCAGAACCTGCATCCAAGCCTTGTCCACCTATACCAGCTGCTGCACCAGTTCCTGGTCCTGAAAAACATTACAACAGGTTGGCGTTATTTCCAAAATAAAATCTAAACGTTAAAATACAAATATTTCCTGTACAGTAACACTGACATTGAAATAGCTCTCCTCTTATAGAAAGCTGAAAATTCATTCAGTTGAAATGAATGAAAGACCATTTCATTCAATATTTATAACATATGTCTCCAGAGAATGCATTATTACTTCAGCTCTTGGTATTACTAAGAACACTGTGACTACATAAAATCACTGCTAAAATTATACAGGACTATACTTTGCTTTTAATGAAATGAAATGAATTGAAATGAATTTATTTACATTCTATAAATCCTAAGCAGGTTAGTACCTTTGGATACAGAACAAGTCAAAAGGTTACATACATAAGTACAGGCAATTTTAGCTTAAAAATTAATATAACTTAATTTTACATCATTCTCTATTTACATTGAAGTATTCATCTAAAGAGTAGAAGGAATGAGCATGTAGATAATTCTTTAACTCTGATTTAAACTTTTTAGTATCATTGCCCAAGTTTTTAATACTTTGTGGCAGATTGTTGAACACTTTTATGCCAGTAAAGTAGACTCCTTTTTGATATACTGATAAAGTTGATGAGGGTAGGTGGAAGTTATATTTTTGTCTAGTATTCATGTTATAGACATCAGAATTTAATTTGAATTTATCTTTGTTGTAAACAACAAATAGGAGAAGCGATAATATGTATTGCGATTGAAGCGGTAGAATTTTTAATTTCTTAAATAATTCTCTACATGAATCTCTACTTCTACATCCTGTAATGATTCTTATTATATTCTTTTGTATTTTAAAAATTATTACACTATGTGAAGAGTTCCCCCAAAATATTAATCCATAGTTCATAATAGAATGAAAGTAGGCATGGTAAACCATCTTCAACCATCATATAAAATCCTATCTTTTATTTGTATGAGACTAAACTGATAAGTTTCAAGTACAATAACTTCTGCTGTGATTATTTACATTTCCATCTTTGTGGTAAAAAATGACAATGGGTAATTTTCTTCTGATTTTAGATTCACACTTAAAACAGATAAATATTATTTTTAAATTTCATCAGTTCACACATCTCTACTATTTTCAGGTTATCCTATAAATTTCAGGAAGAACGGATGCTGATGTCACAATCAGAGCAGAACTCTGCAGAAATTTTTGGGGGTATTTATCTGAATACTAATGTCATGCAATTGAACTTCAGTCAAAAATGTGTATTTTCATATTTCTTTTGTCCAGTACTGAGTTTGCTGCATGAAACTTTTCCAGTGTTATTATTGCAGTGTCAAATCAGGATTTTTCTCGTTAGTGAATACGCTATAGAAGTACTGTATGAAAGCATACATAGTGCACCATTATGTTCTTCTTAACAAATGTACAGCAGTGGCTTGTTGAAATAGAAAGAGGGGAAAAAATCACAACCAAAAGAGAAATCTTGTGATGAGCAAATAATTGACTTACAATATTTTGATAACTAAATAGAGTGTTTCAAAATTGATGTTCTGAAGAACATGTAATTTTCTTACGTCTGTGAAGACAGAAGACAACTGCTATGAAGGCACCTACTACAGCTATAGCAGATACTGCAGCAGGAATCACAACCTGAGTATCCATATAGAAAGGCGATCCACTCTCCTCTCCAGTACCAGTAATAAGATCATGGTCAGATGAGTGCTGGTGTTGGCCTGGAATCAACATAAATCTTAGTGATACTGAACAAGAAGACAAATATGTGTCAGAGCTGAATTATGGATAAGGTATACAGCTGCTTCTCTTCCCAGTCATTTATATTATAAATCTGTTAAAATTAAGTCTTTCGAGTGAACATTAGTAAGGGCCACTGTCATTTAATTCTATGATAATTTATAATTACCGTGAGAAGGCAGAAGATATTGAAACACAACTGACAGATGTAGAATTAAGTCATGAAATGACTGGAATTGCCTGGATATGATACTGGAAGGAAAGAGAGAGGGCAGAGAAAATGTCTCACTCACAGAAATATCCTCACTTGCATCACAGTGCAATTATGGCTCTGTGAATTCCTTGTCAGAGAGTTGGACTAAAGGACTGTTACTCTATGAGATACATTTTAATAGGCAATACAGCATCATTAAACTTCTTAGAGCTAATGGTAGAAGAAAAAAAACAATAAAATAGGGTTTCAGTTGTTTGATCTTGAACTTCCTTACTGTCACAGTTTAAGAGGCCATCTTTACCTTTGAAAAAACACCAGAAATATACATATGATCTCCCATATAAAGCTCAAACCTTTTACAACTAAGATAATTCTCTATACAAGTTACAAGTCAGTCACATAACAGGTGAATGAAAAGTTACAGATTGAGTATATGGAAAATGAATTACTCTAATCAGTGTCATGAAAACTTTATTATAAATTGGTAAAAGAACCTAAAATTGAAATATCTGAGGTTCTCACAGTGGAAAGTGTAATACTTGTGGTCTTTTGCAATATGCCGCCATGAGGTCTGCCAGACAGGAGCCCATGTATCAGAGGAACATGTTCCTTCTATCTTCTATTCTGAAGGAGGAGGCAGCACATTCCACAGAAATATCTGTACTATTAAACTAAATGGCATCACATGTGTGATGACCATACTTGTAATATAGGACTGAGTTCAGTAATTCAACTTTGCTCTTGTAGTAAGACTGCACAAACCTGGTATTGTGCTCCGAGTAACAAAAATGTACTGTGCCACAGTGGTGCCTGCTGGATTTCGTGCTGACACTCTCAGTGCATAACGAGTTGCAGGGATAAGTGCTTGCAAGATGAAACTTTGTTGGGATACTATACTGGAAGCCACTGAAATTAAAATGACAATCAGAATGAAGGTTCAAATTTAACTTCATTAAAGTGCTTAAAGTGCATCGGGATTAAAACCAAGTATTTTCTGAGGGCAAGGTTGGGGTGTTTATCACTCACTGAGACAAATGGTACTTAAGAATTATAGAAAATGGCAAATCAGACCCTACAACCATCTACTTCATAAAATACAGGAAATTTCTCTCAGAAAAATCCATGGATCAATGGCATTTTTCGAGACATTAGTGAGTACACTGTTTACCTGCACAGCAGAGAGATAACACAAGTAGCTCTATTACCACTTATATGTTAGAATTGAAACTCATAATTTTATGTGACCCGTTCTTACTCACAATAATTTCTGCACAGAGCTATTAAAGTATGAACCAGAAGTCGTAGCATTATTTGTATTATTATTAAACTTAAAGAAGATTGGATGATCTTTTCCTGAACATTAAGGAGCATGGAGTTTCACTGTCATAGTAAACTGATAAGGTTCATAGTGAGTACTATGCTATAGACAGAATAATTATATTGTGACATGTTGCGCAAAGGAGGATACCCCCTGCCTATGCAGCAGAGACGTGGTGGGTGAGTCAGCGCTCCGTCCCCCCCTCCACACTGTGACATGACACGCAACACAGCTGTGACACAGGTAACATGCAACAGCGATACCCATTGCGTAACAGGCGGGCACTGCGACTATATAAGGGAATTACACAGCCACCGAAGTTAGTCAGAAGTGTATCAGCGGCCGAAGACAGTTCTCCAGTCAGCAGTGAACAAGTTAAGAGTATCAGTCATCGAAGTGAGTTCTCAAGTCAGCAGTGAATGAGTTCTCAAGGCAGCAGCCTACGAGTTGAGTTGGAATCTAGCCAGCCGTGAGTTACGAGTTACGGACGCGTGTGTGAGAATCAGTGATAGTTCGTGATAACCGAGGAATAATTGTTGCACTTGTATAACTCCCGCGTTATAACAACGTGTAGACTACTGACAGTAGAATGAATTGTATATTGAACAGGGGTTGTAAATTGTGAAAACCCGTAACAGCGTTATAATTAATTGTAGCCGAGACTTGTAGGTTGTTGAATAAACCAATTAACAATCTAAATGGCGTCTTCAGTAACGAAACACGTTACAATATTATTCCCACTGTAAGAAACACTACCGTACCTGTTGGTACACAAGTATGTGTGCATGCACATTCCACATAACACAAACAGTTTTTAGAGGTATGGCAAATCTTTCACAAATTCCTGTCTTACCTAACTTCCAGTGTGAGCCTCCTGCAGTTTCTCTGTATTCAATAGTAAAGGCCCTTATCTGGCAACCTCCATCTTGCCAAGTGTCTAATAATAATGTAACTGATGTCATATTGACTTGGAGAAAGTGTTCTAACTTTGGAGCTTCTGGTTTTGAGCCCTTCGTTGTTACATCAATCACAGGACTGGCACTACCACTACCAATCTTGTTGACAGCTGCAAGCCGGAACTGATAATGTGTACCACACAAGAGGCCCTCAAGAAGACGTCTACTAACTCCTGGCTCAATGCTCAGTTCATCCCACTCTCCTGCCTCTCCGCCTTCACCTACTGATCGATATGCCAATAAGAACTGTCTCACAGCTGCACCACCAGTGTCTCCCTGTTTCCACTGTAATTGTACTGACTTCTGCATCACAGATGTCACCACCAGCACAGGTGCTGCAGGAGGCACTGAAAGAAAACATCAGATGAAAATTCAGCAAAGGATATGTCATTAGAGGGCAGGCCAACTGGTGAAACTGATAAAAAAATTGGTCAACTGACCTATTTTTTGTCAACAAATATTTTCACCAGATAAAAGAAAACAAGAGGTGGGCAGGGCATGTAGCACGAATGTGGGAGATGAGGAATGCATATAGGATATTGGTGGGAAAGCCAGAAGGAAACAGACCAGTGGAAAGACCATGGCATAAGTGGGTTGACAATATTAAAATGGATCTTAGAGAGATAGGATGGGATAGTATGGATTGGATTGATCTGGCTCAGGAGAGGGTATCAGTGGAGGGCTCTTGTGAACATGGTAATGAACCTTTGGGTACCATAAAATGCTGGGAAATTCTTGAGTAGCTGCAGAATTGGTGACTCAAGAAGGGCTCAGATCCATTAGTAAGTAAGTAAAAGAAAACGTGTTCTCTTCTAGCTGTCATATTAAACCTGCTACAATGAAATGAGAAGTAGCACTTGAAACATCTATGAGACATAAATTCTGAAGACTTCTACAAAGGTTCAGGTGAGAATGAATGTCTGAACCTTCCTCAAATTAGTTAATGTTGCAATTCTAAGAATACTTTAAGAACCAAACTTGGGATTGGTCACTGGACCAGAGTGGTTTCCTCAGAGGTGGTTCTGAAAAGAAGGATTGTGAAATTCTGAATTTTGACTGAGGCAAAGTGCTGCCTCTGGTGAACAAAAACTGATGCTTTGGAATGAATAGGCAACCCACTGCAAGACAATTGAAGGTTATGATCCAACAGCAATTAAATGCCAAATGTTCCCCTTCCATCAAGGGTTGATATAGCAAGCTTGGAGAAGTGAATCAATTTTGGGTCAGTACTCTTGAATACAGTCTTTGGAGCACTTAATAATTAAAAAAAACAACAGAATTTAAATTATTTATAGTGTAGTAATACCAAAAGTATGTGTAATCACTTATTCCATATAAAGCCACATGAGGACCTACCAATTCACCTATACATGTATCATGATTTGTGTGTGCCAAAGTACGTCTATCGTTCAAGCTCCATGAAACAAGCTCATCTGCATGTTAGACTGTCACACAGAGTGTGGGGTATGGGGAAAGGCTAGTAACATCTCTGTGTGCGCACTCAAATCACTGATGAACATCCCAGACATCCCTCCTCTTCTCACAGCTTCTAGAAACCAAGTGTGCTTCATCTTTCATGTCTGCAACAGACTATTCTAGAAATATAACTTTTATGAAACCATATGCATGAGATCAGGAGGGGCAGCAAAGCTTGGTGTGTGTGCTTAGGACCAGCATGCAACATTTGTGTGTGGTAATGCAATGTGATAAACTGGCAGCTACAAAACAAGATGGAGACAACAGTACAGTGATGATTAGTGGAGCAGTAGTAAACTAAAACAAAATTTTATCAAGATTGTTAACAGATGATGGAAGGTGTACTTGTGAAATTAAATCCAGGATTGCCATGGCAAAAGCTGCATTTAGCAAGAAGAAGAATCTTTTTACCAGCAAATTGGACTTAAATTTGAGGAAGAAACTAGTGAAATGCTACATTTGGAGCATTGCTTTGTATGGGGCTGAAACTTGGACACTTAGGGCAGTAGATCAGAAACACCTGGAAAGCTTCGAAATGTGGTGTTGGAGAAGGATTGAGAAGATCAGTTGGACCGATTATGTGAGAAATGAAGAAGTGTTATTTAGAGTCAGTGAGCAGAGGAATATACTACACAAAATAAGAAAATGGAAGGCTAATTGGATTGGTCATATCTTACTCAGTAACTGCCTTCTAAAAGAAGTTACTGAAGGAAAGATAGAGGGGCAGATAGAAGTGACCAGAAGATGAGGAAGAAGACGTATGAAGATGCTGGATGACCTTGGGGACAGAAGAGGATATTCTCATTTGAAGGAGAAAGCTCTAGATCGCATTAATTGGAGGAACTGTTTTGGAAGAGACTGTGGACCTGTCATCTTGACAGATTACTGATGAATGAATGTGACAAACTGTAAATAACTACTCCATTCCATTGAAAAACTTATCCTGAACTTTGATCTATCATACATCAAATATGCATATTTCATTGCTTATTCACAGTGTAGGTTTCCACATGTTAAGTTAATCAGATTTCTACAGTAGAACTGGAGGATGGATTGAGTAGGTCACCAAATGCAATCTTCAGCTTGTGTTAAGATTCAGATATATGGGCCCATGACAGAACACATAATGTCATCAAGCATGTCGGCTAAGATGAAGAAAGTGTATCTATAATCATCTTGATGTTATGTTTATATTAAGATGTCTGATAACACTGATTTACCTTGAACTTGTAAGAAGTACATGATCTCATCTGATCCATAGGTGTTTCGGACATGACAAGAATAATTTCCTTCATTGCTTCGTAATACGTTCATAATGATGAGTGTATTGTCAGAATTGATTTCCATCCTATTGAAGAGGAAAATATGACATGTATTATATCAGATCACTAATAAAATAATTCAAAAGAGGAATTTAAATCATAAAACCTGTATAAAAACATGTTGTGAAACTTAACATCATAGCATTTTCCTGAAATCTAACAATATTTTGGATTTGGTGTATATTCTGTATCATGACTCTATGACACACTACTTTTACTATATTATAGTACAATGTCAAACATTAATCATTTGTATAATACTGGGCCAGATTTGTGTGAAGAATGAAAGGCCACAGGGCTGAAGTCTGATTCTTTGACAATTTGACCATTTAAACAGCGTTTCAAAACCAGGCAGTGTCCATGGGGATCAAGGTTCATCTACACTGATAGCTAGCATATGGACCAAATATATTTCCACAGCAATAAAAGGGTTACAACAACTGTAATTATATATGTTTCTATTAATTGGATCTTCAGTATATGGTCAAATTATCAATGTTGAAATGACAAATGATTATGCCACATCATTAATAAATTATTTTTTCTTTGGTACAACAAAAAAACCTTTTGGTCAATGGCTTTCATGTTCAAAGAAACATGGTTCAGAATGAACTTCCATAAATTCACATAGTGTAACAACTCACTTTGGCTGATGGTGTAAGTTTAAATCCCCCAGTCTCCATTCTGCACTGGGTCGGGGCTTACCCACACAGAGGCATGCCAACTTCACAGTAACTTTCCATGGCACAGTCACAAGCTGGCCAAACGATACAATTGATGCAGGTACTATTAAGAGGAAAATAAACAAAAATTATATTGATCATAATTTTTTTAACAAGGAATCTAGAACTGACCTATTCCAATTTATTTTTTCCTGAAATGAGAGTTCCACAATGGTAACTATGAGACAATTCATGAGTCTGCATAATCACCATATTGGCATTTTTAACACAGAAAAAGAAATTTTCATGTTCTCTTTCCATAACATCCTACTGGATCCTATGCTTAGCTGCACAAAGTAACAAATAGTCATTCTTTTTTAATGTGACACAAATGTGTCAGACTTCTATGATGACTGAGGTTGGACTTGCCTATACAAGCTTCATATTTTGTATCAATATTGCTGATGTGAGGGATATAAGAAGCATGACAGAATATCACTTCTATTGCCATGATCTTTATAGAGACTACTGAAAATTCCTCCATTAACTAAAAGTTTTGCATCCTGAAGGTGGGAGTGTGGGAAAGTGGGAAGGGGAAACACACAGAGAAGTGACTGATTTACAGAAAACTTTGTAATCAGCATGGGCTAGCAGTTGATGTGATCCATTTTTGCCTAGTTTTCCTGGATCTTATTAATGACAAATTCTAAAGCAAAGTTGAAAAGTGCTGGAGATGAAGCATCTCATTGTCTTAGACCATTATGGATAGGAAACCTATCAGACAAATGTTTACTTATATGGACTTTACTATAGGTTTCATTTAAACACATTTATGAGCCTAGATAATTGTCTTGCTGTCTTTGTTCAACCTTGTTGATGTATTAATATTCATATACCCTGTTCTTCTTATTATATAACACTACATGTTTTAACTGGGGGCACTTGGTAGCATATTGAGGTAGGTTCAATTCCCAATGAGGTAATTGGACTTTTTTAATTGACCTAATCCTTCTACCTGCACTATGGCCCTGGAACCAACTGAGCCTTTGACAGGAATGCATGCCAGTAATCTTCCTGGAATTAAAGGACAGCTAATGCATAAGGCTATCTGTGAACCGATTGTCTAGAAAATGGTGAAGCCTCAATGTCTTATAACCCTATGCACCTCCACAGTCTGTTATAGGGATAACATTGCCCTAACTGGTCATCTTCAGGTGTATGGGATGTTGAGTATGTATAACTGTCACTGCTTGGATTAATAAAATGACAAAAAATCCCAGGAAAACTAAGTTAAATATCTGATTGCAGTGATAACAAAAGAGTAATTCAACACTAGGAATGAAACAAACCGGATGAAGACGGAGCAGGGGAGAGACGAATAACCGATGTACCAGCGCCCTGTCCCACACGGGTAGCAGCAGTTACCCAGGCTTCATACATTTTGCTGGCAAATAATCCAGACACTTCGTAGTACAACTGATGTGCTGCAACAGGATTCTTCACAGTCTTCAGTTCTCGGCCTTGTTCCAGAATACGTAAATGCACCGTGTATTTTGTGACAATGCCATTTGGATGATGAGGTGGAAGCCATCCAACGAATGCTGCATTTTCTGAACTAGGAACAGCTTTCACTTTCTCTGGAGCCTCAGGCACTAAGAAGAGATAAAATCAAATGTTGCATTAGTTCTCTGTGTATGTGAAGGTGGCCCATTTTTGCTGTTATTTGTCTATATTCCTATTGTAGGTATTAGTTTTATTTGCGCATAGAGGATTATAATTTTCTTGCATAACATTAATTACCCTGAATATATTAAAGTTTAAATGAAAGGAAATGAAAAGGGAATCCGGTTCCTGGGGCTAAAACTTGGCCATCCTGTCATTGGGAGACATAAGAGAGATCTGATCCTCCAGGTTGGGGGTTGGATGCAAGGCTGACAACCTTGCTCTATAAAAAAAGTTACTGCTGTGAAATCCAAAGAACTGAAAACCAGATGGAATACACAAGTCTGGCAGGAACTTCTGAGGATAGTTATGGTTCAAAATGGGCTGTTTTGATAATGATGATAATCTGTAATGAAGACATTTAAGAAAATGTCACAAACAAATAAAAAAACCAACAGAATGTGAACCTAGAAAGTTAAACTTTTGGTTGGAAATGTTTGCCTGTATGTAGTTCTATCAAAATTTAAAGTACAATCCACTACCTTTCCCACACCACCACAAACGACAATGTATCAAAATGGCCCTTTAACAAACACATGTGGCATAAATATTTCACTACTCAATATTCATATTATTCAATTTCTCTAATTGTAGTTACCTGCCCCATCTATTCATCCTGTGGATAACTTGGATTGCATGAAATACTGCCTGACCTACCAATATTATAGTGATGCAATGAACTTAGCAGCACAATATATACAAGTGGAAACTAATGAGTAATTAGTACAATTAAAATTAATAAAAAATAGGGCCTCAAAATATAACAGCAGTAAAATGACATGAATTGAATTAATAAAGGAAAACCAATAATACAAAGTTGAAAACAACTCAACGAAATAACACAAAATAAACTAGTGGTGTCAACCAGACTAGAGGGAAGCTGATCATTAAAGGAATTAAGATGTAAGGAAATACAGCCAAATGAAGAGAACTGCCTGGACCAAAGTCCACTGAAGTAATTGTGAGGGCAGGCGGTAATGCACACTTCCAGGTAAGTGGCAGCAGAATGCTGCAAAAGATCAGTAGGTAAAAGTTTTATCATAGTGCATATATTTTGGCAATATTAAGAGGCTAAGAAATAGCAAACAAATTTGTGTGGAAGATGATCAAGTGACAAACAGATAATAAGCGCTATAGAAGTGAATGTGTGAGGTAAAATTGTGTTACGTATGTATGTATGTCCACCAAAAATTATCTCACAAATTAGAAAAAGAAATATTTAAGAGACGAATCTGTTGGGGTGGCAGCTGGTAACAGCAGTTCTGTTCAAGTCCGGGGTGAGGTAACAGAGCAGAATCAGAATGAAAATACTGAAGTCATGACTGATATCCCTAGGTACACAAATGCAGTATTGTAAACAATATATCTGGAATTCTATTGACTAACACAGAGTTTACTCTAACCATTCAAAAGGTAACAGGTCCATTGAAATGTGTAGAAACATGAGAGCTTTGAAAATCTTCTGGTCTCTCAGCTTAGAATGAATCAGACTCTAAATGGGTTCAAGTTAAAATTTAGAGTCAACTGTATTGGTCAATATAAATATGTATAAGAACCGAGAAATTACCTGTTTCCTCAGTGGTACAAAATGTAACAGGACTAACAACACCATCTCCTGCTCGTGTGGAGGCAAGAAGTCGAATACTATAGTTGGTGAATGGTTTGAGTCCATGCAAAACAGCAGTAGTAGCAGTTGTTACCTTGCTTTCTCGCTTTCCAGGTTCTGCCCAAATAAAATATAATGAAATATTATGCTCATAATACCAGCTTCATTAACACACTCACGCACACACATACACACAACTTTTCTACAGTGGCATAATTCTCACAAAAAAATAACATTTCTTTTGAAGTATATTACACAATATTTTATCAAGAAACACACATAGTTGTTTTTCTGTGCATTTCTATCCTTTCATGTGTGCAGGCACTACAGAGAAAATAAATGCTGTCTGTATAAATACATGCGTCTTACTACCATCTTGCTTGTTTGTGTGCTTCTGCTGCTACTACTACTCGTAACTGCCCTGAACCCTCCTGGACTCTTACTTATATAGCTGTGGAATGGACATGGACCAACAGTAAACACATATCACGTGACTGTTATGCAGCCAGTCTATTGGCGCGTCTGTTGGATCTACAGAAAACACAGCTTCCTCTATTGTTATGTGTTGAACCATGTTTGCAGGGCTGTTGCCTGGCAACATGTTGATCAAATCCATTACAATATTTTACTTTTCAAAGCGTTAGCCAGGATAGCATGGTTAACACAAATGCTCTGCCATTGTACTGTAACCTTTATATTGAAAGCCAATGATAACAATTTTACATGCGGTAACAAGAAATGAAAAACATGGGCATTGGTGCTAGGACAATATAATAAGAGCCCCCTGGTTCAAAATCGCTGGTCTCAATTACCCACCATACCGTTCCTCCACTGGTTCATAGAACAGCTTGTAGCCCTGCACAATGCCATGAAGGTGGGAGCGGTCAGGTGGATGCCAGCTGACTTGTAGATCATGTGCTGATACAGGCGTGCAAATCACATCTTGTGGGGGTGCACTGGGCACTGGAACCGAAGTGTACATCATGAAGGGCACAGGATTTGTGATTCTCACAGAGGCGTTAAGGAAGAATTCTGTCTTCTGGGATATAATGCTGTGTAGTCCAGTGATGCTGAGAGTCAACTGATGATCTGGAGGAACATGTCGCCTCCATCTTCAGAGGTGAACAATAAGTCATGCAAGAAACCAGCCTGAATCAAGCTCTGCTTGCTACTTGCTTTAATGTTGGTCTCTTGCTTGGCTTATTCTATGAACCTGAAGATGGAGATGACATGTTCCTCTGAAACTGTGGTTGACGTTCACAGGAGTATGTGACATTTTATCCGAGATGGTAGAACTCTTCTTGATGGGTGCACTTCACTTTACTTTGTTGTGCAAGGTTTTTTTAATGCTAACTCACTCGTTTTCACATTTTTGCCACTAATTACTACAACATGTGACTGAGCACTTTCCCTAAAATTGAAAAGTATCTCAACAAGACACAATAACAGAAAAGGAAATCTGTGAGGAACACAAAAACTAAAACAAAATTCTTCACTACATATAAAAACTGAATAGTTCTTGTGCAGTGATTCAAGCAGATGAAATTGCAAAATATACTGAACAATAAGTCACTGCTATTAGAAGTACTGGAAACAGCAATTACATTGAAAACAATGGTAGATTCAGATTTATAATTTTTAACAATATCTTCTATATTTTCACATTTTACTGCAGAAGAACTTCCAAAGCGTTAGCTGGATGATTTATAAATCTGTATTGATGTAAAAGGAATGCTGTATTATTATGCAATTCATACTGTCACAAAATATTTGAACTTATACTCCTCTAATGTACATACTTTTTTTTTTCTTTTTTAGCTTGACTTAAAAGTCCCAGGAATTATTGTCCAATTCACATATTCCCCCATGGATTTTGATATCTTGCTGCTGAGGAATTATGTTTGACATATGCATTACCTTATTCTGCTCTTCCTCTTTGCCTGGAAGTTACTTGGAGGGTACACAGAATGGTATGTCATTTGTCTTTGAAACATCTCCCAGATGGGTTGAAGAGAGAGTCTGACATGATCACAGTTGTGTGATCTGTTAGTACACTTGTTTATTCGGGTTCAAAGTTACATATATTGGAACTAGAAACAATAAGGTGGGGGCACGCGGTAGCGTAGTTGGTTGAGGCACTATGCTACAAGCCGGAAGGTTGTAGTTTTGATTCCCAATGAGGTCACTGGATTTTTCAATTGACCTCATCCTTCCAGCCGCATTACAGCCCTGGGGTCGACTCAACCTCTGACAGAAATGAGTACCAGGAATCTTCCAGGGGGTAAAGGGCAGCTGGCATGTAAGGCTGACAAACTCACTATCATCTGTGAGCCAACTGTGTAGAAGAAGTGCGAGTCTCGACCTCTCACAACACCATGGGCCTCCTTGGCCTTTTACAGGGATAGCTTTACCTGTTTTTTACCTTTTATAAACAACTGGGCAGTGTCATGAAGTGTGTGAATAGAAAGGGTGGAAGTAAATCCATTGGTTAATAGTTTAAAATTAGAGCTTTGATTTGTGCTAGCCTGCTTTTAAAAGAAGACCTTAAATATAGGGAGTTGCTGGTATATACTGTAATAGAATCTAGAAATTTTCAACTACTTGAGGCAAATGGAGACTCTGATATCTTTCTATTCTCATGTGATGTAGCTCAATTTTTACAATTGTTTATCTTCTCTTAGTTAATCATTAACTGTAGTGGATTTAATGGTTTGCCTTATGTTTATGGTTACTGATAGAACATACTGTTGATATTGAAAGGATGACTTGTACCATTGGAGTCAGTTGAGTGTTTGCCTTCACCACTTATTCACTTGATCATGGTTGGTACTAATAATTCTAGAGGTAAATTTTCCCATTGAACCTTTGGGGAATTATGTATTAAAGACCACTGGATATCCAGGTTGTAATTAAAGGTGGTAGGGCAATGTAATTTTTAATTCCCAGAACTCTTAACTTGATTTCTGTGATTATGAGTAATTGTTGAATGAGTTTCACTGCAAGAGAAGTAGCTCAAGCTGATTAAACACTAACGAAGTGAGACTGGCTTGGTGCAAGCACATATATAATTAAGTATATGTACAGACCTGTGATATATGAACAGGAACTGCTACCATGTTTTTGTAGAACTAAGTTGAACAATCATTTCAATTTTCAGTTTCTCATAGTCATCATGTAAGATGTTATACATACATACATTACATTCTGTAGATCCAAAGTAAGTCAGAATGACTGTAGGATGTGGAACAAGTCATACAAATATAAAGCCATAAATGCAGTACAACTGAGACAAAAAAATACATATATATAAGTCAATACTGTCAACTTATGATATGTACATAACCTTTTAAAAGGACGAGTCGTTTTTAGACAGTAGGAATTCATCAACAGAGTAGAATGAGTGTGTATTTAAGTATCGTTTCAGTGCTAATTTAAATTGTGCCTTTTCATTCATTAGACTTTTGAGACTAGACGGTAGATTGTTGAAAATTTTAATGCCAGAAGGTAAATAAAGCATGGCCCCAGGCAGCCTTTGAATACAGGTTTCACTATATACGTGAACCTCCACCTGTAATTACTATTTTCCTAGTATTTGCCCAATACTGAGTACTTTGTTTCATACTGCTTTAATTCAAACAATATGTAATTCTAAATATATTATGAGCAACATCTCAATATAAATGTCTCTAAGCAAATATTTTTCTCACCATCTTCTAAGGTTTGTACAATCACTGGATCACAACTTGGTCCATCACCTCTGTTATTGAATGCCTCAACTATCACACTGTACTTGGTAAACTTTTCCAGTCCAGAGAGACGAACTTCACTATTAACCATTCCTGCACCAATTCTTGTAAAGTTATATGGTCCTTCATCTTCAGCAACAGGTCTGAAAACACAAGGTAAATTCTTCATGCCAATAAGGAGGGAAGAAATTGGCGCTTCAGAGTAATCTAGCATTACCTTATTGTAAGTGAGCTTTAAAAATTATTGCAGGAGAGTTATGTAATTTAAGTCAATCACAGCAGAAATAAAATATTCGTTTAGCTCATGTCATTGAAAATATTCATCTAATTAAAGTAAGTTATATTTATTCTGTTATTGTTCATTTTATGGAATGGAAAATCAAAACACCAATCCTCATACTGAAAATTATTCCATCACCCAGCAAGCAGACATTTTAAGCAGATACCTTAGAAATTAACATGATACTGGGTGTTCTTCACCATGAGTTTATTCTGGAAAGGCATAATATTAACAAGACAATGCACTGAGATATTCTTTGCTGTCAGTAAAGACATGTTCTGCTGTAAAATTTCTCTTACTTGGACTCAGGAAACTGGCTGATTCCCCATGATACTGCACCAGCTCATGTTTTTTTAGGTACAGGAGTTTCCAACAAAAATTGTATTATGGTGCTTCCACATCCTCCCTTTTTTTGAGCTCTAGCACTTGCAAATCACTTCCATTTCCCCATTACTCAGAAAAGAGTTCAAAGGAGTCAATAATAGTAGCATTTAAGGCAGTTTTCAATAAAGGTGTGAGGGTGTGCCTCAAATATTGCTATGGTCACTGTGCGACAGTGGAAGGGAAGTACAGTTTGCACCAATAAATTCAGTATTGAAATGAAAAGCCATCCTGTTGATACCACTGTCTATTCATATGAAGGCCCGTTGCATGGCAGAACCTTCTCAAATCCTGAAGAAATGGTCTGATCACCATGTCTCTGCAGCATTCTTGGGTGACTGTAAGAGCATTATCATCCTCAATGAAGCAGGAGCCTAATATACCATGTGCTGAGTGGGCACACCGTATTGTCACACGTGTACTAGGTAGTGGTTTCTGGATAACATCTGGCCGCTCAAAACCAAGGAAGCGAGTTGTCTGGTGACCACTTCCATATGAGTGGAAATAATACTCAACTATGAACACTTTTCCCTCCTTCAGGAGAGACACATTTCCAACAACTTCACAACACAACTTCCTTTTCACTATCGGGAACACGTGCGGCTGGAGCTATGCCCCGCACATGCGCGTTCGAGATGCGCGAGTTTCAGTACTGCATCTTTTGGCGCATACTGTACTTCAGAGACAATGTGCAATATTACAACAAAGTCAGGTAAGCTCATATGCAGTATGGTTTCCTATAGTTTCTTGCTTATCAATATATGATATTTTGTTCAAAGTTTTGTTATTACATTTGAATTTAATCACAAATTGTCATTTTGATCTGAGACTGTGAATCCAAGCTGAAATGGGTAGAAAATGAAGAAAATACTTCTGTCAATAAAACTAAATCTTACAACGGATTTTGAATAAGAGGGCCAAATTGTTCACAGTAATATGAAATATGAAAATCATAATAAAAATTACTGTCTCTCGCATTGCCTGCTGTGTTCATAACAAACTCTTACCTCATTCTCTTCTTCTGCTTTTGGTGGTTTCGTTCACAATGCACATTAAGTTTAACTGACTAGCAGAACTGGCCCAATCATAATAATGACAGAAAAATGTTATTATTATGGAACACAGTGTTAATGGCAAAGTACAAGAAACTGATTTTAAAATTCCTTGATTGTTTGTTTATTGACTTAGAATTATTCATAGCACAAATCTATGGAATTTTATTACAGCAATCCATAGCTATCTGTGAATTGGTATCTATACCCAATTCTTTTGAATCCTATTTTGTAACCAAGGAGTTCTCCATTCCATAGCTGACGTTCAGGCGGCTGCCATGTAACATGGAGTTCCTGTGAACTGGTTGCCTCCACAGACACCTGGCGGGGAGCACCACCTGGGATCTCACTTTCCGTCATAGCCTGGAAAGATTTTTTTTCATTTGTATTCGGTTATATCTTACACGGTAACTGCCTTCTAAAAGAAGTTATTGAAGGAAAGATAGAGGGGCGGATAGAAGTGACCAGAAGACGAGGAAGAAGACGTAAGAAGATGCTTGATGACCTTGGGGACAGAAGAGGATATTTTCATTTGAAGGAGAAAGCTCTAGATCGCATCAAGTGGAGGATCTGTTTTGGAAGAGACTGTGGACCTGTTATCTTGACAGATTACAGATGAATGAATGTATGAATGAATTCAGAAAAATGAATCTGAGACATCTGTCAGATGCTTACACTACCCTTCTTTGCATATATGACTCTTACAAGGGAAATCTCTGATCCATGCCTCGGCTCTAGCTGGATGAGTGATGGAGTTTTTATCAAGGTTGACATGTATATACGAGACAGAGTCTGAATATCTGGGGGGAAGGCTGAGGAAATCAATTTGATTTGTATGCATAAATAAATAACTTTCACTGTACTTACTTACTCATGGAGCTTAGCCCTTCTGGAGGAGCTGCCAATTCTGCAGCTACTCAAGAATTTCCCAGCATTTTATGGAATCCAAAGGTTCATTACCGTGTTCACAAGAACCCTCCACTGGTCCCTATCCTGAGCCAGATCTATCCAATCCATACCATCCCATCCTATTTCTCTAAGATCCATTTTAATATTGTCCACCCACCTATGTCTTGGTCTTCCCTCTAGTGTCTTTCCTTCTGGCTTTCCCACCAATATCCTATATGCATTCCTCATCTCCCCCATTCGTGCTACATGACCTGCTCAACTCATCCTCCTTGACTTGATCATTCTAATTATACTTGGAGAAGAGTACAAGTTATGAAGCTCCTCATTATGCAGTTTCCAAGTTTTCCAAAGCCATGAACCTATTTGAGATTTCAACACGATACTGCTCTTTACCCTCTACCTCATTTAATTTCTTGAGATTGAACCTCTCCATATGAACTCTGTGTGTTGTTTGTTTGCTCACTGCCAGTCTTTCCCTAACCTTTGCCACCACCAGGTAGTGGTCAGTATCACGATCTGCTGCCCTGAATGATCAGACATCAAGTATACTTGAATGCCGTCTCCTATCTATCAAAATATGGCCTATTTAATTGTGTATCTTTCCATCAGGAGATGTCCAAGTAAATTTATGGAAGTTATGATGTGGGAACATTGTACTTTTGACAGTAAGATTTTTTGATGTGACAAAGTTTACAACTCTAACTCCATTATCATTATTAATTTCATGCAAACTCTCATTCCAAATTGTTGGTTTGAAAATGTCTTTCCTCCCTACTTTGGCATTGAAATCTACTAACAAAATTTTCATAGGGTACTTCGGGAATTTATCAAATACATGTTCTAGTTCTTCATAGAATCTATCCTTTATGTCATCAATTTTATCTTCTGTTGGGGCATGAACATTCATAACAATGATATCACACAAGAACTTTCACTGTAAACTAAATAAATTAAATTTGGGCAATTTTAGAATTAATCCCAAGTGAGTAATAGATAAAACTTCAAGCTGAACTGAATAACCCCAGTATTAATTACTTCTTAAAAATTAACTGCTGAATGATAACGTTAAAACAAAAATTAGGCCACTCGGTAAATTTAATGCTGTTCTACATAAATAGGTACTTCTAGAGTCTCATAGTGGCAAGCCCAAAATTTGGTTAAACATGTGGTCTGATCTCTGTGACGTGGCAGACCAATGGCCAACTGACTTCCCTTGTGGGAACATGAGAAGCACTTGCCATAAGTAGCTTTCAGGAATATATAATCTTCCTCGAGGTTCTCAAAAAACTCCTCACTCACTGGGCTAGGGCATTAATTTCAAAATACTCGCTTACAAATCCAGAATTCCATAGGTCTGATCCATATATATCATATTTCATTTATCAGGGAAACAGTGACAGCAATCCATTATCAAGGGCTCATATTCATCAAATTAAATTAACTGAATACTTAATGATATTGAGAACGTAATATCTTGGAGTCATGTATACAGTATAGTCTACATATAAATATTACTAAAATGCTACTGAAATTACATAAATACAGCTGTGCCCAGTTACAGTACATGACTAGCCACCCCAGTTCAAATATTAAACCACATATAGCAAACAGTATTATCCAGAACTTCAGAGGGAAACACCACAAATAACCCCACGGACACAGAAAAGATTTCATTCCTAAAATTCCTTAAAATTATTTGGTTTAATTCAAAGATGTATATTGAATCTGAAATTTATTTTCTGCCTAGTGTCATCTGTATTACAATTCTGTTAAAGCAAATTTGTACTTTGATGTATAGATCACTAGTAAGTTTTAATCTGTTAGGGATTTCAAATAATTTGAATATCCTTTGGATGGCAGAGAGTGAGATTTTAAATTCACAAGAAGCACACACATCATCATATTTCATTCCATTCTAATTAGTCACAGAAGTTGATTCAGCATCATTACACATGTATGAAGAAACCAGTCTCTATTTACTCACATGTAGGGGGTCGCTAGGGGCACTGGTTCCCAAAGCATTCTCAGCGTACAGCCTGAAGTGATAAACTGTGGCAGGGCGAAGTCCTGCAACGAGCACCACACTGCGGTCCCCAGCCACTGTGAGTTGTGGATTGTGTTCATGCCATATATCAGATGCTTCCTTATATTGTAGGATATAAGATGTGACAGGAGAATCACTTCCTGCTCCAGGTGACCAGGAGAGAAGCACTGAACGGCTTGTCTGCTCTGCTATGTGTAGATTACGGGGAAAATTGGGGGGCTCTGTTTGAATTGCGTAAAAATTATTATTATTTAAAATAAATAGTAGTACATGATAAATATGTGGAGGTGGAAATAAATAAACAAGAAAAGCATATTTGGCCATTGTAAGAGTACTCACAACAATAAGTTATTAATGATTTTGTATGGATGTATGATCAGATATTAATAGAAGACACAGAGAATCATTGAGAGTAATCCTTCAAGATTTCAACTGACATGGTTGAATTGTATAATATGGAAGTACCTATAACTAAGACCACAGGCACATCTTTCCAAGAAAATAATATTAGATACTTTAAAGTAGGAATTAAAAAGGAAATAATCGAACAAATTAAAACTTCTACATGACTAGTGATAGGACAGAAGAACAGATCAAAAATATTCAGTAAAACTGTAACAGAATAAATGGAATATTAAGAATAAATTTTGGAAAAAGAAACGGGGAAGAACATATGGCTGAGATTTCATAATTTGTTTAGTAAATTAACTACTTTATGGAAGCAAATTCTGGATTCTGGGTAAAGAAAAGGAATGACGTACCAGCAACAGATAGCAGTTACAACTTGCTGGTGCACTGTATGCTTTGATCTTGAGACTAAATCTGAGTGTGAGAATACTGAACAACATATAGTTACAAAGAAGTGCTGTATGAGATCATCAGTCAGAATAACAAGAAAATAGTACATTCAAACTGAAAACACTGGACAACAATTTAATGAAAATAGCATGATCTACAGAGCTGGGAAGTACCATTAGAAATGGAAGGACTGTGTGCAGTGAATGCCACCACATTGCTTAGCCAGGACAGCAACAGAATGCATACCTTAATGACAAAGAGGACTGAGAATGCCTAGGATAAGATGGAAGGATCAATTGTATCTTCCCTTCAAGATGGGGAATGTAGTACCCAACCTCTGTGAGTAGAAAAAGATATCTGCGAAGTGAATCAAGTAGGTAGAGTACAATTAGTCTGGAACAACATATGTAACTATGAAAATTCCCAATTTGTTCCTTTAGTTCAATCAATCAATCAGTTTGAAGAAAGTCATCTTCTGGGTTTAGGCGCTGTGTATTCTTGGAATGCAGAGAGCAGTAGAGCGGCTACTGCTCTCTGCATTCCAAGCCATTCACCTGCTCTGAAGATGGAGGCGATACGTTCCTCCGAAACGTTGGTCAAAACGAAGAATACACGGCGCCTAAACCCAGAAGACGACTTTCTTCATAGTCATCGCCGTGAAAACCACAAAACTTACAATCAATCAGTTTATTTGTTCCGAGAATCCATATTTGGAGATACAACCTCCGGATATGGAACAAGTCAATTACTATATATTAAAGTAACATACGTATATACATGATTCAGCAATGCTATGAAAATTGATTACCTACAGATTTCATACAAATCAGTCATACAATACATCATCCCACTTTCAACAATTCAATACCAAACGAAACCCAACATCCAACATTTTCTTTTATAGATTAAATGAGGACAACATATTTGTCATAACTTAAAACCATAACACACTCACTTCAGAATTTATGGACATAAATTCATCAACAGAATAAACAGCAAGGATTTTAAGATCCTCTTAAGAGAGTTAATTTTTTTTTAATTTTTTTCTACTCAGGGACCTTATTATACAAGGTGATACTCTTATTTATAACGCTTTTCTTAGAAAGAACTGTATTGCAATGATTTACATGTACATTTAGTTTTCTTTGCGTGTTATAATTATGGATGTCCACATGTTCTGTTACATAAAATACTGATGCATAAGAGATTGGATATGCATACTGATTGGATGTAAATGGGATTAACTGCATGTTATATTTTTTAATTATGTTTATCACTTAGTATTATGTGATGTTGTTTTATGATTAATGTTTAATGATTGTGACGAATGAACTTGGAGTAGTAAGAAGTAAAAGGTTGTATTTCTAACAGTGTATGAATCTATGTTGTTGTGATATGGCTTGATTTAATGTTACACCATGCATCTTTTTATGTTTTGTATGAGATTGTATAAGTTTGACTAGCTCTATATCCTATGGGTGCTAAAGCCCCCGTACAGGATTTGTGGAGTTATTTAATAACAATAAACAATAAGCATTGAATTTAACAAATGGATAATGAAACATAATAGTTTTGTTAAAAATTAGGCTACCTTGAACCGTAAGTTGGATTGTGGTTCGATCCTGGCCATATGCATTGCTAGCAATGCATGTGAAGTCCCCTCGATCTACAGGTGAAACATCCATTATGGTCAACTTTGACAGAGAACCGTGGGACAGGGATGTTGTCTTCACTGAGTACCTGAAAACCAGTCATGTATGTAACAATCAAAAGCATGGTGCCATATGTCCAGTTCTACTGCCATTTGTGATGGACTGTAATGACAGCATGCTCTGGTTTAATTCAATTTCTTTCATATCTAAATAGTAAGAAAAACTGGTAAAAGTGATGAGTACACTTTGTGTACGCCTGTGCTAAACTACATAACACAGTCTACCATGCCCCAATGTAAACACACCACACTGAGCCAAATCTAACCAAGATGGAACACAGTGTGATCAGGAACCACCATGAAATTTGGAATGATGAAGATTTCACACCATATTTTGGGCTTGAAATTCTTTAGGACAAGGCCAGATAATATGCCATTCATGAGAAATTTAATTGTAAGTCATAACTGTGGATCTATCAGGTTGTAAACTGTTGTCACAAAGCAGGCTAACATTTATTTTCACTGTGAAAAATTAATATAGTTTATGTAAAAGTTTTGGCTGCAAAAAGCTAGATGTCTTGGAAAAAGATTCAAATATACTACCATGGTCTACTTGGATGAGGTATTGAGTAGAATGTGTGTCAGTCTTAGTTTAGATTATTTTACTTTAATTTATTTTACTGTTTCTTTAATTCACTGACCTGCAACGAATGATCATAAAAATGTCATCTAGTGAGCTGAGTGAGCGAACTGTGTGTATGCTTTTAATTAATATTTTATTGGATAATAAAGTCATTAAAACAATGGAGTTTAATGTGAAGTGATATATTAATTCTAGAGTTAATTTCTATTTCTCAGTGCAATAACCCAATAAAGGATGATAAAAATGATGGAAGAAAGGAATAAATTTGTTATTCTGAAAGCCTTAATAACTGCCAAAACTGTCTGTAAAAACATAAAGCTGCAGTGAAAAGAGGAAGGATTTGTCGGTGACAGTCAACAACAAAGTTTATAGTTCTTTTGATGGGAGTATTACACATTTACTAAGGGTCCTATATTGGACTTTGTAAATCATTTTGATTTTTTAAAACCTCAAACCATGGTTCAGAGCTAATTTCCAAAACACAAGGAAGGACGGAGGGTAATCATAAAATGAAAACTGTCAGCTCGTGATGTGATAGACTGTTATGTATGCCATTAGTTAAGTACCTCATTTCATAGTCAGATTCAATGCGGCTGCCTTTTGCTTTCCATGTAACATCCATAGGTTGATCACCATCTGCTTCACATCGTAGATGTACTGTTTCACCTTTTCGTGCCATTTCTTGCCGTGTTCGTACTTTGAACCGAGGTCCAGCTAAATATTGGAATTCAAACTACATTATTTGATGGAAAAGTGTGGCATTCTATTATGTTTAAGATTATTTACCAATGTATCACTGACTTACCATGCACTGTTAGCAGAATCACTTTACTAAGTCCTGGCCCAATTCCATTTCCAGCCTGACACAAATAATAGCCTTCATGTTCCTGGGTAGCTCTTGAGATGATAAGGGAACCATTCTCCAAACTGTGGATTCGTTGACTATGGTAACTGAGATCTCGATATTCTCCAGGTTCAGTGCCTAAAATGGGGTAAAATTATTAGGCAATTGTTTGCATCTTTAGAGCACGAAAACTACAGAATTCTTTTGTGTCCTAAGAAGCCAGTGACTGCCTACATTCTTACGAGACAAAATTCATCTAAAGATTATTTAAGAAATCTATAGTTTTCTCTAAGCAAACACATAGCATCTATGTCAGATTTGAGGCTTTCACGGCGGTGACTATGAAGAAAGCAGTCTTCTTGGATTTGGCACCGTGTATATGTGGTGTTAACCGACGTTTCGGAGGAACGTATCGCCTCCATCTTCAGGGTAGAAGAAAAAATATAAGAAATCTGCAAGCTGTGGTCACACAGTCTGCTTTTACCGGTTCTCACGGTCTCTTCGCTTGCAGATTTCTTATATTTTTTCTTCTACCCTGAAGATGGAGGCGATACGTTCCTCCGAAACGTCGGTTAACACCACATATACATGGCGCCAAATCCCAGAAGACTGCTTTCTTCACATAGCATCTATTTTACTGTCAGTTGATTTAGGGTATTTAGGAAAGTAGCTATAGATGGAGAACAAACAATATCCATCATGGCTTCATGTAAACTAGCTATGGTCACTGAATAAAGTCTTTTTTCAGAAACAAGTAGTTGTTTACTTGTCAGTATATTCCCTGCCTTTTTGGAACCTACAGGTTATTACTCTCTTCTGAAGAGTACAATAATGGCACATATTCTTAAGCAGTTGAATCCAGTCAGAATTTAATATGTATTTTTTAAGATTCATTTTAATATTATCTTCCCACCAGGACAAGGTCTAATTAGTGGTGTTGACCCACATAAGATTTCCATGAACATATACTTTTATTTGTGGTCCTTCATTTCGATTTGTTATGAAATGGAATGCTGAGCAAACATTTTTGGTTCAGATATGTTCCTAAATATATTCTGAAAATGAGAGCATTAAAAAGGGCTCACTATGTACAAAATTATTGCTTTTGTATGTAATAAATTCCATGCATTTGAGAAATGTTAGCAGAGGATTAGGACAACTGTAATAACAATGATAGTGTGATATTATATTTTATTGGCGCAATATTGGAGGATTAGAAGATAATACTAATGATTCAGTAGAGTTGCATCCTGTTTGTGTCTTAGTTAGTTGGTTGGTTAATTGGTATAATATACATTCATATCTTAGAGATTTCTATTATTGCTATGAAAACTGGAGACTATTTGAAATCTTCAAACATGTTACTGAATAAAATCTTGCCCAGTTCTAATAAAATACAGAATATTAAATCATAGTTTGAAAGAAATACATACCAACTGCTTTTTTCCAGGTAACTGTGGGTTTAGGAAAGCCATCCACTTGACAGTGAAGAGATACTGGATTGCCTTGTACCACACTGTGGTCAGTTGGTTCCACCATCCAACGTGGAGGCACTAAAAGAAAACCAGGCAGCATCAGCATATGTGAATCAAGACAGTTTTCATATAAAAATCCATCTGTTGACTACAGATACAAATTTCACTCTGAAATGAAATGCATTACTGAAGGCATCTACTTGTATATTAATACAATATTTCCTTTGTATTTGCTGAGTGTCGAAAATTTGACTCCGTTAAAAGCAGTTGCACTATTCATCTAATAAATTTTTAAGTTGGTGCAGATTATTAATTTTAATGTTGCACTGTACTGTTACAGTGATGTCAATACCAAACAATTTTTTACAATTTACTAAATTTAACCAAACTAGTACTGAAACCGACCTTTACAAATCAACTCAAAATTTCATTTCATATTTAAGAAAAACATGTTAATCATAATTGACTGTGTGTTATTGTATCATAATTTTTATTATTATTACTATGTCAAAACTTACAATTGTTTTTGAGGCAATGGCATCATTGTCTCTAATGGGAACAATTTGAAGCCTGTATTGTTTCCCTTCTTCATGCTTTAGTATGCAACAGAACTACATGGAACTGCAGCATGAAATAAATATTACAGATTACTGTTGTGTTTATATCATAAAGTTCAATATAGTGAACTTTTTCTTCCTCTTTATTCTGTCATTCAAAGTTATAGACACTTTCCTAGCAGATGTCTGCATAGGCTCAGGCCTCTGTTTTCCAAATGTTTGTAATGGGTGTAAACTTTACATAAGTCATATAAATATATAGTGCACCACATGCTGTGAATAGTAAAGGGTGTTCAATCAAGAAGGAAACTTCACAACACCATTGACTGGGCCCAATATTCCTCATAGATTGCTGCTGTAACTGTAACGGCGCGCGTTTATCAGCGCTAATGACTCATTCTGCTATCAGCAGTTATAGCAGCAATCTGTGAGGAATGTCAGCGGTGTTGCAAAGTTTCCTCCTTAACTGAATGCACTGTATAATGGTACACAAAGTTGGATAACAAATCTAGGATGCCAGTTTCAGTTAACAGCACATCTATGTCATACTTCTGTAGATGGAATTAACTGAGACTCTGCACATAATATCTGAAGGAGCTTTAATACACACGACTAGGTAAATGGTTTTATTTTCCAAATTTTTATTTAAAAATACACATAGGACGGGTAGAATTTATTATATCAACAAGTAACCCTAAATATGTTTGCAATATGAAAATATGCTGAAATGGAAAGAGTTCTTACATACCATATATTTATCATCTGATATGTACATTTGCTATAGTTTTATATTCTAACTGCTTTAACTGATAAGCGTGACATATTTTGAAACTGTTTCAATTATACAAATTCTATCCAATTCATTTAATAAAACATCAAGTACTGATGAGAATACGGAATAACCAAGTTACAAATGTGAAAGAATGATAAAACTTTAATTACTTTTTGTCATTGGAATTAAGTAACAAGCAACATGAACTAAATTTCAAACATGATGCTCGTTTACAAATTTCATGTCCTGTTTATCTGAACAAGATGGAAATATCTTGTGGTAAACATTAAAAATATTAACCTTAATTTAAAAAAATCTACAACAGTGTGGTGAAAGTATTTATTGGTATCAGTCAAGTATCATATTTATAATGAAGTGACTACCAATTATGTTATTATGTGCATAATGAGTTTTCAAACTAATCTTGTCAAAATCACAAGTTCATTGCTTTTGTTATTCTACTAAGTGTACCATTTGATATATACAAGAAGGAAAATTAACATGTGCAAATGTGCTGAAAATTCTTCACAGCACCAAATCATTGGTGTCAAGTTTCCAATCACTGATGAGAATCGAAAATCACGAACGTTAGAAATATCATACCAAATTAAAATTAAAAGTTGGAATAGAAATATAGAAACAGTTTTGAAAACATAAATATTGAAAATTTGGGGAAATTATGTTATTAGGTACTAAAATATAAGCATGAGCTCAATGTTTTAGAAATGACAGTGAATACAAATATAAGAAAATAAATTTTCTGTACTGGCTTTAAGATGAAACACAAGGAATAAATTCATTACTTTGCAATAATGTTTAATATTGTCCCATATGTGAGAACTATTACAGAGGTCACTTAATAAAGATTTAAGGATCAAATATTAATGAGTAGCATGTGTAAAGATAGTGATAAAGTCTGAAATTTTGTAATATGATTCCAACAAAGTGCTCTGAGATGAATACTGAAGTAGTGGTTGTGGTGAAGGTAACGCCAGCTAGTCAGACTTCTCTCAGATTTTTGAAATTGTGACAGAGAATGGCGAAAGAATTATTAAAAGTGATGTACTGAAGTACTCAGAAGTACTTAAGAGTTACCTTGTATCCACAGAAAAGCAATGTGAATTGCTATGGGGTTTAACCTGGAATTCTGCAGTAAAATTATAGGATGTAGCTGTCTGAGATGTGGGAAAAATTCTAACATTATAAAGGCTATTGTACACTAAATCATTAATTTGTGAACTTTAAGGCAAAGTGAGAATTTAATATGCTTCAAGGAAGTGTGAGTCATATGTGCATTTTCTGTTGTTGTATATGGAAAGAAAATGCTTTGAGTACTGTGAACTGATGGGAGGAATTTCATGAAATACCGTGTTTTTATGTGGACTGAGTCAGCTGAGCTCATTCAGAACAATATTCAGAGATAATCATTTGTTCTTCTGGAATGAGATTACCAGTCTTTTATTGTAACAGGGTGTGAATAAGTAAGAATATGTTAGGCAGAATGTGTCAGATTGATGGAAATTGTTACTAAAATGAAAATGGTTATGCTAATAAAACTAAATTATGTACATTTTCAGCTTACTATTTCAGTGAAATTCTGACATGATAAATAAATTTGAAACTGAATCTAGTTTCTGCTATGCACGAAAAACTTCATGTAATTGAATCAATAAAGTGAAGATCTTATGAAGCAGTGACACTGAGACATACATATTCAATAGCTATCACCAATGACTTGCTGAATACAATGATAGTATCTTATGTAGTAAAATATTAGTGGTGTGCATAAAAATATGTGATGTTAATAAATATACTGAAAGCAAAAGTTACTATTAAATATGCAGTGAGCATCAACATTCAGCAAGAAGGAACTATACTATTTTAACGGATATTCTCATGCCAATGCAGTGCAGGTCATGGATCTTTCTGTGACAATTTCCAGACATCATATTTTACTGTCAGTATGAAAATGTTTAATGACTTTTTAGCATGCTTTGCAAATATCGTTATGATTAACACAATTTATTTAATAATGCATTCAACTGCTAAGAATACGTAGCACTGAAGGATAGGTTGATCAGTGGTAAAAGAATTGGAAAGGGTGTGAAAGGATGTTATTATGATCTGATTTATAGTATTATTCTGGTACATGCCTGGAGGGACTGATGAAAACCATGGAACTTCTCAATTAGAATGGTTGATTTCTGGGCCAAAATTTGATCACAAATATAACACACAAGCACTAACCACTAGAATGTTATATTTGTACAAAGCACAAGACAAGCTATGATGAATAAACATCTGTGTTTCCATGATGTACACATTTTGTGAGGCGGAAATATATTTCAAGTATAAACTGGAGGCCAATTAAACATTTTCCTTCTTTGCATGCTATCTCATCACTACTCAGGGTACAGTCTTAAGGCACCTCCAGCTAAACTGTGAAAAGAGTAAGAGTGTGGTAATGGAAATGAAAAAGAATGATGCTGAATAATAGAATTTTGGAAATTTTAGTATGAGATGCAGTTTAAAATTTGATGTGATATAAGGACCCAGGTTAGATGCTACTGTCATTTGAAAATATTTTGAAGTAAAGAAATATAATTTTTCATAACTACAAAGAATATTAAGAAATGAAATGAATGACTGTTATCAGAAATACACAATACATTGCACATTAAGATCCATGAAGATTTCATGCTGGGTGACACAACTCTATTACATTTAACAATAAGATGGACTATGCTGCTGATAACTTTATAGTACAACACATTACATTGCATTACCAGTGACAGACAGTTGCGCTGTGTATTCAGCACTGCCAGCCTTGTTAGTGACCACACAAGTGTAGTTGCCACTATGACTAGATGTTACAGTATTTATGGTCAGAATGCTAGAAAATGGAGCATAGTCGCTAACGTTAATCCAGGGAGCATCGTTGTCATTTTCGTGGCCCAAGGGCAGCGAATCTTTACGCCACGTGATGTTAAAGGGCCGATCTCCTTGGCTTGCTGTACACATTATCTGCGTTCGCATTCCTTCTGTCACACCATCCTCAAAATAAAAGGGGGAGATCCTTGGAGGGACTGAAATATGCAAAATCAACAGAAAACCCGAAACTGCATCAAAAACACAACATAAAAAATGACTGCTGAAGATATAATGAAGGAAAAAACCACCAAATGCACTGCACTTATTATAATTCCTGCTCCTGTAGTGTGTATCGAAGCTAACATATGGAGTAGTATGGGGCAGGGGCTAAAAAAGTCTGATTAGTGTAATCATAGATAAGTGATAATCCATATCAAATTTAAATTTTGGAAAAGAATGTAAAGTAACAAACATATTTATACCAGTGTGACATTGTATCCTCTGAAGGGTAAAATACTTACCATAATATGACGGGCTGTAGGTTTGTCTGTTTGTGTACATGTGTGTGTACGTCCATATATGTATGCACACAAAGATTAATCTACAGCTGTATGTAAATGGCTGCAGTTGTCAGAAAACCTAAGCTGCAATACTTCATACTAAATGTATCAAAAATAAAAGTATGATATCAAAATACAGCTGATGCATTTAATTGAAGACAGTGGCATTAAACAAAGATCTGCTAGCATGTAGCATCCTCTAAAATACTTGCCACATTTGTAGGAACTGACTACTCCAAAAATTCCCCATTTACATATATTGTGATTTTCTGGTAGCTGGGTACCAAAATTTTGGATGAACATATTGACTCTGTCTTCAAATCATCTGCCTTGTAAAAATGGAGGTAATTTGTTTTTCCAAAAAAGCTGACATCCACCTACTGTACTGCATGTTGGCAATATAGAGAAGACCATAATGTCAATCTTCTTTGTCATGAGAACCTCAAAATTTAATATTTCCCATCTCGGTAACAAGGCTTTTGATAGGTGGAAATTTATGCTGAATATTTTTAAGTGACTCAGTATTATTTATATGGGCTGCAAAAATTATATCCTTACTCTATTCACTATAAATTTAAAGAAAAATCAAAACACTTTCATTTTATAAATAGTTATGCCTTTCCACATTTAAGTATGTATTCTTAACAAATCTATTAATTTAGTTTCTCAATGTTGTATCATTTCAATATTCCCAACTTTTCTGTATTAATTCACAGTAATAATATAGATCAGTAAATAAAATGGGTTACATTTTTATTTAAAATGTTTATGGAAATAATGAGAACAGATCATGGATTTTGAAATGTGACCACTTCTACTTAAAAATTTTCCCTATTCTTCTCATTTGTGAAAACTATAAATATTTATTAAAGAATAAAGCTAATGGGAATAGGATTTCTTTTCATTACACTGTCAACTTGAAGTCATATTTACAACTGAGAAGTATTTTCTCAAAAAGGATGTTTCATATAGCAAAATTAAGGGAGTGTAAGTATCAAGGGGTGTAACTGACTTCATACATATTCTATGTTTATGTCAACTGGTTTTGCTGAATAAAAGCAAGACAGCTCTGTCAGTACCCCAGTAGGTTTCAGGTAACGAGATCCTCATAAAAGCAGCACTTCTTTAAAATTAATAACAATGACCTGTTCTGGGGGAGGAAAGGCCTAGAAATTATTTGTCTTACTGCTGGAGTAAATGTGACTGGTGCAGTCTTTCATGAATGGTGTGATGTCACTTGAAATGGATACTTCATCGAATGGATAATATTTAGGATCACTGAAAATCCATAAAGCAAATATTTCCCTAAATGCAGTGTGTGAGGCATATTTCGTATGTCGACTGCTAAGATGTACCACCAAAGATGAACCATAATACAATTATCGAATTTGTTTCTGTAAATTCTCAGATTATGTAATGAATATGGTTAAAACGTTAGTAGTACAGCCTATTTGTATGAAAGTAAAAGTGATGAACATGATCACTCTAATTGTGAGTTAATGTGTTTTGGTTCAGTATGTCTTCCAGTTGACTATAAATCACAAGGACATGTGATATAAAGATTTTCCATCATTCTGTTTGCAAACATATCAAAGGTGGTTGCAGCTTCCATAAAAATGAAAGTATTGCAAAAACCCTATGGTGTGTCGGCATCTGTTTGCCACCACAACAAATGTAACACCTCACTACCTACACTATACAGTAATCAGAAAATTTCCCATTAGGCCTAGCTTTATGGCGTGTATGGTGGTAGATTTGTAAGTATCAAACAGAGTGCTGAATTAAAGAACCTGTTTCTTCTCATGTGGACCACGTATTCTGTGATGTTAATAAGAAATATGAATTTACCGTATGACATGGCGAGATGTTAGTTCTCTGTAGTGAAGATAGGAAAACATAAGAAGTGAACTGCTGTGTGGCACCACTGTTTGCATTTATTCTGAAGCAATATAGCTAAAGAAGTAATCTTACCCTTGTGTCAACATCATTAGAGGTAGTGAGACTCAGAAGAGTTTTAAGCCAGGAAATCCATCACCTTGCAACCACTCAGCCATCCTTTCACTCACTCACACCCATTTATAGAGAAACACACTGCAGGTGGGACAAGCAGATTTTAAATGAGGGGCTGAAGGTCAGGGGGAGGGCAGGCAGGTAGGCAGGCAGGCAAGATAAAAGATGGCAGGCAGGCAGGCAGGCCCTGGTGAGATGTGTGTTACCGTTCACTTGGAGTTGTGCTGTGTGTGTGACGGTGGCCGCAGCGTTGCTCACCCGGCAAGTGTAATTGCCACTGTGTGCCCGCGTGATGCTCCCTATGCTTAGCGTACTGGTGAAGTCATCATACTGTCGGGTGGTAATGTCCGTACCGGTTGTGGTGCCTGTGCTACTTGTGGAAATACTTGTTGTTGATGTTGTTGGATTGAGACTGCTGTAGTGGTCTTTGAGCCATATGAAGCTGAGTGGTAAGTCCCCTGTCACCACCACACACTGTATACTTGTTCTGTCGCCTACGTTTAAGTCACGGGCAAAACTGAAAGGCGTGATTTTGGGTGGCACTGAAAGATAGAATTCAAATACTGGTGTGATTATGAACAGGAATATGTTTGTTTCACCCACAGTGGAACTTGTTGATTATTTGCTGTTATTCATGGCTGTGACTTAATGCTAATGTAAGAGGTCATTATGTTGGGAAAAGGCTGGAACAGGAAAAGGTGATAAGACATCCTGACTTAATTAATGTTTATAAGTATATCAAGAAACACTTGATGACTTATTAGTATTGTGAGTATACTTAATTGTAAATAACTAGAATCTGGAAACATCAATCAAGAAAAAAATGAAAATTAAGCTGGTCTTAACACTAAGAATCAAACTGAAAATTATGTGTAAGGTCCATTTTGATGCTTCTGTAATCTCATACATATATTTGAAACTTTTGAGATTTTGCTGTTACAACTATAGATGATGACCCTCAGATCAAGGCTTCATATTTTATTGTGACAAACAAATATATGTTAAGTCATTTACTACATAAAAGTGTTTCTTCCTGGAAACACCTATATTCAACTTCCAGTGTTTTGTTTCTTCATCAATTAAAATGTTTTCTGATTTTCTATTTTTGTTGTTAATGTAACTTTAATAGCATTCTTCCAGAGCAGTAACTAATATCTACATGTTGCTCAGCACTAGTTACTGAAGCCATTCTTTACTTCCTCTTTAATATAATTTTAAATTTACATTTGAACAAATTAAACACAACAAATTACCTGTACAGATCCTTAAAGTGGTGCATGATCAAGTATAACAGCACAATAATCACAAAGAAATAAGATTGTTAACTTGAACTACCATATTAGGGACACAAAAATATATTCTAAGACACAAACAATGTAATATTCTTTCAATGAGAAACACAGTTGAGTTAAACATGTTGCAATATTATTAATATACATTTTTATAAAATACAATGATTATATGAACCTTCATTTCAATTAAATACTTTGCTTTACCTTAGCATTAGAATAATTATCACATTTAAGTTTAGGCCAATCTCATACTGAAGCAAGAACCATCATCCAGCTGCTTTCTGAACATAAGAAAATTCAGATGAAAATTATCATTGAACTGAGACAACAGCACTATAGCCAACTAGTGCTGCAATTGAAACATTGTATAAATTACACTCTATGTAATTTTTTTATGGTATTACCAACGTACCAAAACAAAAATAATTCTTTCAAATCTCTGTATTTCTTTATCTGTTATACAAATCAAATAATCCACTAAAAATCAAACATAAACCGACTTAAACATTAAGTGTTTTTATCATTCCTTTAATTTGAATATTCTGATCCAAAATTAACTAAATGATCACTTCTTAAAGAAGATCTGGGCCCCCTTTTTTCGCATCCAAAAACAGAGAATTATTTATTTTCTAGTCAACGGACGGCAGGAAACATTTCTTTATGAATATCCATTACATTGAGACCTTTTGCCCACAAGAAACGCACAACAGGACGCCGCTCTTCGGTTATATATTCTTCAAGCACGGCCATTATTTTCACTACTGAAACCTTCCTCTGAACATGCGCATGCGGGTCTACTACCTAGAATGTCATGAAGCTAGACAGTGCTGCGACCTAGTGATACACATAGAAAACCTACCGCGTCCATGACAGCTGTTTTACTTCCATTAATGTCATAGTTACTGGCTCTCCCTTAAATCTAGATAGTATTTGCCTAGACAAGAGAGTTAGAAAATATTACAGAGTATCTGAAGCAGAACACCAAGCCAATAGTCGAACCGAGTATCTCTCAAATAGATGCCTAGAATTTTATCACTGCAGCAGCCTTCTCAGTGCATTTTGAGAGAAAATATGTGGGAAAGAGCTCAAAACCGGTCCCTCAGATGCGACTAGAACACTGAACCTTTGAACACGAACCTCTCTACCACAGTGTAGGATTGAAGGTTAACAGATACGGTACATCGCTATCCTACAAGACCTAAACAAGACTTAAATAAGCCATCTGTAGCCTGCAGTAAAAGAAAGTCTTGTTTTGTTCGCTGTTCGGAGCTTCTATTAATGATGCTTTTTGGGTGTCACTGAGCGAACTCTGGGCTGGTTCTTGGTTGGTGGCAATGTTCTCAGCCCATGTGCTAACGAGAATGAAAGGTCACTGAATTAAAAAGGTCGTGAAAGGTCCTGGACACCAGAGAGAGAAACTACTTGTTTCAGACACAACACGAAATTGAATGAGGGAAAAATTGGAAACTGGGTTCAATAAACAGATCACAGACAATGAATGAGAGGTGGCTTGTGAAATGTGGAACTCACAGGAATCTAAGCAATGACGTCATGGGAAAAATACTTTAATAGGCATGCAAACAGGCTCATTTATAAAGTATGGTGCGATTCTTTGCATTAATAATATTAATGATTTGAAGATAGCAGTAGTAGTACTAGTAAAAAGGTGAAGTTGTCCTTGTATGGAACTCATTAAACACTACGCCATGAAGGCGTATGTGGGAGTGGATGTATAGATCCACATTTTCCTGACCTCGGCAGTAGATGGGGGACACGCGGTAGCGTAGCTGGTTGAGGCACTATGCTACAAGCCGGAAGGTCGCGGGTTCAAGCCCCGATGAGGCCATTGGATTTGTTTCAGTTGACCTAATCCTTCCAGCCGCACTAGGCCCTGGGGTCGACTCAGCCTCTAACAGAAATGAGTACCAGGAATTAATTAAATAATTTTCCTGGGGAGTAAAGCGCGGCCGGCGCGTAAGGCTGACAACCTTACCGCCATTTTGAGCCGATTGTCTAGATAATGTGGGACCCTCAACGTCTCACAACCCTATGGGCCTCCACGGCCTGTTACAGGGATAGCTTTACTTATTTACGGTACTAGCTGGAGGTGAGTGGTCAGCTTCACGCTCTGCCATCTTACCCCCGCGGAAAGAGCCAACTGTACCAATTCTATACGAGGCTGGGTGGGCCTCAGGGCCGATCTGGACGCTGTGGATAGGAGAAAATTTCTTGCTCTTGTCCGGTATTGAACGCCGGTCTTCCAGCCCATAGCCTGTGAATATACCAACTAAGCTATCCAGGCTCATAATATCCGATAGGATATAATTTATACTGCAAAGACGTCATCGGAAATCGAACCCGCGACCTACAGTCTTGAAGCACATTAGAGCAGGGATAGCGCGGTCTGTATAGCGATTGGTTACGGGATGGACGACCAAGGGGTCGAAGTTCGAGTCTCGGTGGGGCAAGAATTTTCACGTCTCCATGTCCAGACCGGCTCTGGGGCCACCCAGCCTCCTATCCAGTGGGTACCGCGGGTAAAGCGGCCGAGGCCTGAAGCTGACCACTCGCTCCCAACTATAGCCGAAGTTAAGAAAACGTCCGTCTATACATCCACTTCCCCATACGCCTTCATTGCGTAGTGTTTAGCTAGTTAAGCACAGGGATAACTTCACCCATTTTACCATTTTTTAATTTATACTAAGAATAAAAACAGTAAATAAATAAATACATCCAAATATATGAATAAAAATAAGTAAATAAATGAATTAATATACGTTTGTGTAACGCTGTTAAAACGTAATCCAATGAAACCAATGCTTTGTATTTGCAGTTATCAAAGCAGCAATTTTGACGCTATAAAATGTACAAGTTTCCCAGTCTGTATTTTATTTCATCGCTTTAAACTTAAAAATTATGGGAAAGAGGAGCTTTGTTCTGTACCGGTAACTATGCCTGAAGTATACTCCAGTTTGTAGGTTACCTGGTAGCGTTCATTTCTAGGGTTATCGGTTCAAATTCTATTCACATTTTTTTCTACGCATGATTCATTGTTCTATCGTTGGTCTCTCTTCACAGTTTTCATCAGCCCGTCGGCAAGCGACAGGGACGGAGGACGTAGAGAGCACCTGTCATTCTGCCATCAAATGTTGAACTAAATTTCCTCAAGTTATCATTTTAACTTTGAGCCCTCTTCAAAATTCAAAGGATAAAAAAAGAATGCACAATGACGTCAGTGGTAACATCACGAACCGACATCACGGAAATAACCACGACAACATCGACGCCATATTAACATCAGGATTAGTGATTAGTATGTATACATACATACGATATTCTTTCAATTCTGGCATTTATAATGCGACGGAAAACATATATACCGAAACACGAGAACATGAAAGTAAGAAAAAAAGTAAAGGTATCCCTGTAACAGGTCGTGGAGGCCCATAGGATTGTGAGACTTCGAGGCTCCCACATTTTCTAGACAATCAGCTCATAGATGGCGGTGTCAGCCTTACGCACCGGCCGCGCTTTACCCCAAAGAATATTCCTGGGACTCATTTCTGTAAGAGGCTGAGTCGACCTCAGGGGCCATAGTGAGGCTGTAAGGATTAGGTAAATTAAAAAAAAAGTTAATGACCTCATCAGGATTCGATCCATCGATCTTCTGGCTTGTAGCATAGTGCCTCAACCAACTACGCTACCACGTGCTCCCCACGAGTACATGATGTGTCTCAAATATGGCAAGTCGAAGGGTTTCCTGATTCTATACCTGTGATAAGGTGTCCTTCTCTGGTAATATTCCACAGGCATGGGATAAAGTTAACGCATACGAGGTACCTTGTTCAAATTCCGCCAGGGGAGCGAATATGCTGGCTCAATTTTATTTTCAATTTTCCTCGCTACGTACAGACAGTGATTTACAGTATACCGTGATCACTTTTTCCGACATATATATTATTCAGTCTTCAAAATAAAGCTATTAATATTGTGGCTTACAGACACATTACTAGGCAACGACCGCAAAACAAACAACAAGACAACAGCTGTTAATAGGCAGCGGTCAGCACACAAAATGGACTAGCTGGAAAGCGGTGTTTTCTACGCGGTCCGTACCGAAGGGTTATAAGCAGGACAAAGTTTAGAGCTTAGTCAGCTGTAGGATATTCACCAGCTGGAAAGGACGTAAGCAGAGGACATTGATAGAAGCCGTTACCAGGAAACGACTAGTGAAGACATATAAGACTATA